CTCAAGTCAAATGAATCTGGGAAAATACAAATCGGATCTTTGATCACTTTAAGATAAAACCGTTTTGGGTTTCTACCTCTAGGTTGAGGTATTTCTCTGAATTTCGAGATTCGGACGCCAGATTTTTGCCAATTTTAGTGCTTTACTTGATATGAATACACATACTTTTGAAAATGCTGGTACAAGTCGAATCCTTTAGCTCTTGGTTTCGGATGCTCTGAGTTGGATAAACTTATTCATGAAACTTGCGTGGGCTCTGTTATTGGATTTCAGGTAGCCGAAGCGGAAATGGTTAAGTCTGACAAGTTTCCGATAGTGGTGAGTACTTGGCCTTTCCTTGAGGCCGTTAGAGCCGCTTGGAGAGCAGTTGATAATGGAAGCTCTGCAGTAGAAGCTGTTGTGGAAGGTTGTTCTGCTTGTGAGGAACTCCGCTGTGACGGCACAGGTGTGAGACTATTCTCTTTTCTTCTTGCTCTTATCCTCTAATGTTACTTTCTGAAAGTGAAAAATGTTTCCTCTGTTGGTGTTGACAGTTGGGCCTGGAGGAAGTCCGAATGAGAACGGTGAGACCATGATTGATGCTTTAGTCATGGATGGGGTAATAAAATCATCAACATCCTCTGTTCTATGATCCCCGTTTGCATCAAGATCTTGAAGAATGACTCTCAAGTCTGTTTTTTTTCTTTTTCTGGTTATTGTAAGGACATTCTTAGGTGACTATGGAGGTTGGAGCTGTTGCTGCAATGCGGTATGTCAAAGACGGTATAAGAGCTGCAAGAATGGTGATGAAATACTCTCAACACACATTGCTAGCAGGGGAAGGAGCATCAGCGTTTGCAATCTCCATGGGTCTTCCTGGACCAACGAACCTAAGCTCCCCTGAGTCTGTAAAGAAGTGGTCGGACTGGAAGGAGAATCGATGTCAACCTAATTTCAGGAAGAACGTAGTCCCTGCAAATGACTGTGGACCTTACAAGCCAGAGGATGGTGCTATGGATGTTTCTTGCGAGATGGGGAAGATTGAGTATAGACCTCCTCTTGTTGGTCCTCACAATCATGATACCATATCAATGGCTGTCATTGACAAAGTAAGACGAGTTTTTTCAGATAATTTCTCTAATTATTTTGTTGTTGTTGTTATGATAAGAGAAGCTGAGTGTAGACTTTCAATAGATGGGGCATATAGCTGTTGGGACGTCAACCAATGGAGCCACATTCAAGATTCCTGGGAGGTAACGCCCTTAAAACCAAGCCTATCTATCTCAGCTGCCTCCTGAATATTGTTGGAAATGTGCATATTTCTTTGGTTATCAATATAGCTTCTGAATCCTTTTCTAATTTTATGATATTATGGAAACACAGAGTGGGGGATGGGCCTATCGTCGGCTCATCAGCCTATGCCGATGATGAAGTAGGTGGATGTGGTGCAACTGGAGATGGTGACATCATGATGCGCTTCCTCCCTTGGTAATGACTCAACCTCCTGATGTTTTGCAGTGGTCATTGATGAGTGTTGAGCATGTTAAAGGTTTTCTCATGTTTCTTTAGTGTTAAAGAAAGCTTATTATGATTCTTCTTCTTCTTCTTGGACGAGGTTTTAGTTACCAAGTTGTGGAGAGCATGAGACAAGGAATGAAAACAGAAGAAGCTGCCAAAGACGCCATCTCGAGAATAGCCAGGAAGTTTCCGGATTTCGTGGGGGCGGTTGTGGCTGTTGACAAGAACGGGTCTCATGCAGGAGCTTGTTACGGTTGGACGTTTCAGTACTCAGTCCAGGACCCTGACATGGACGATGTTCAAGTCTTCACGGTGCTTCCATGAAACCGGTAAATTTTCTCTACTAAGAATCTTATGGATTGATTGTTTCTTGAAGTTTTTGGTATGGATGAAAAAAGTAGGAGGTTTTGCTAAAAGTGATTGTAGTTTGTAGATAAAGAAACGGCACGAAGTTCATTTCTGGAAATACGGAACGGCAAGCTCGTTTGGAGTATTTTGAACTATTGTTTCTTTAAACAGAAATCTGTCCCCCATTGGCCAAATTTTAGTTTCTTGGGATTTGTCTGAATTGATCAGACAAAGGGGACTAAGGAATTTTTGTAAAAGTAAACAACAAAACATATGAACATAGTTGACTTTCTGTAATATTAGTGATTAAATATAAACTCTGTTTTGTGAAAACACGAGCACATAAGTAATCATAAACTCTGTTGAGGGAATTCCTCGGTATATCCTCTATGATTCTATAAGACTATAATTTTGCAGTTCATAAAGAATGATAAATATATACAATACATGCTATAGTTTATGTAATATTAGAATAAGTAATCATATATAGAGTTTTAGGTTAGAAAATGGTTGAAAATGAAAAGACGTGACAAAACGGAAAAGAATGTCATGTAGGCAACTAAATCCTAAGAATGAAATATCCTATACTTTCAAGCTTTATCTCTATTCTAATCCACTAACACAAACTAAAGCAATAGGTATGTCCGCAAATCCTGCTAACAGAGAGTAGTATTTCAATCATACCATTTCAATGTAATTTATAGGAGTAATAGGTCGTTTCTCCCGAGATGTAGACATATTGACTTCTAGATAAAGAGGGGAAAGCAAAAATCTCAAGCCTTCAAGTTTAGAGTTTGATATAAAACCATTGATTATTTATTTGTTTGACTTTTGTTTCTTTAAAACAAAAACTCCAAACTGAGGGATATACCAAATGGTAGATCCTTATACGACGAATATAACAATTTTAATATGGTAATCTGTATTATTGTTTCAATGTATGAAGAAAAAATAATTAATTAGTGAGCTGACTATAACAGTATAAATGGGGATTGTGGCGGCAACAACGTGCTTGCTTGTGTCGATTTTTTCGTCTTATGAAAATGTCATAAAATCACCAAACTTAGCTAGGTTCTTCCTCTTCCTCATTGTTCTCTGCTCCAACAGAACAACTTGGTAACTGGTAAGTTCTGTTTTGACTGAAAGCTCTCTTACACAATAGTTTGAAGAAACACATTGTAATTTAGACATTGTGTTTTTTAAGTTTCAGGTAAAGCAATGGAAGAGAAAAAAGTAGCAAGAGCGTTAAGCGAACACCTATCTCTACCTCCTCCACCACCTCCTACTGTAGCGGTAGCCATTAATGGAAAGAAAAAGAGCAAATACGTGGCCTTTTGGGCTCTTGAGAAATTCATCCCCGAGGGATTCTCTGATTTCAAATTGCTCTATGTTCGTCCTCCTGTCACTTACATCCCTACCCCAAGTAAGTTTTGACTAATAAATGATTCACAATCTTATAATTGATGCAAAAGATCTGAGCTTTGGTTACAAAGATCGAGTCTTTCATCTTCTTAAGAGATATTTATGGGGTACGGTTCGATTTCAGTGGGGAATGCGATATCGATAACAGAGCTTAGAGACGACGTCGTATCAGCTTACAGGCAAGAAGTGGACTGGAACACAAACGAGATGCTTCGTCCTTACAAGAAAATGTTCGAAAGGAGAAAGGTTCTGTCTCAAGAACTAAATCTAAAAACTCCGTCTTTTTACCATTTTTTATTTCTTTTCCAAAATCTGAAATGTTTCCATATGGTGTAATAATAATAAAAAAGGTGCGAGTAGAGATTCTTGTGCTGGAATCACACGAGCCTGTAGCTGCGATAGCGGAAGAGATTGCTGGAACCGAAGTCACAAAACTCGTTATAGGAATGTCTCTTCGCGGATTCTTCTCAAGAAAGATCGATATGTCTTCTTTGATCGCAACAGCTGTTCCAAGATTCTGCACTGTCTATGTCGTCTCAAAGGGGAAACTAGCTTCCGTGCGTCCTTCCGATTCAGACGCTACCGGAAGCTTAAGATTCGAGAGGATCGAGAGAAGCAGTTCCACAAGTGGCTCCACTGATAGTCCTACACTCCCTTCAGGTAAATGCTTTACCTAAAAGCGAATCAGAATGAATCTCTTAAAAACGTCAGTTAATCAGTTATTTACTCTGTTTTCTGAAAACAGAGTACCAAGACTTACTCTCGTTTGTTTCGGAAGCACAATCAAGAGTCTCTCCTTTCTTCCCTGCTCCGAAACATTCGACATTCCCGGAGATGAGCAGCAGCTCCGCGGTGGTTACAATGGATACGAGTTCTAGCGAGACGGATCAATCGGAAGTATCTAGAGGGAGAGGGATGCAGATTGTACAAAGCGGTGGTAACGAAGGGAAGAAGAAGAAGAAGAATAACAATAACGACGAGAGCTTTAGCGCATCGTTTCCAATGGGAGTAGAGGCGTATCACGCGATGAGCTGGGCTTCTAAATGGAGAGATCACGAGGACAGGAGAGAGATCATGAGCTCGTCTTCGAGCAACAACCACGAGCTTATGAATATGGATTGGGGTGCGGTGGTTCCTGAGAACTATTCCTGGGTTTCTCATCAAGCTTCTAACGTGTCTGATGGTCTCCTCAGTGTCCATTCCATGACCGATAATCAGGTAAATCAATCTTCTTGATTCTTGATTCTGTTCTCTCCAGAGAGAACATAGCAGTTTTGTTCGTTTCTCTGTCTCTGTCTCTGCATTCAGAGATGAGAGCCAGACTCTTGATCTTGTTTCTGTTTTATCAAGAGAGACAAAACATGTTCTTTTGTTTGGAACTGAAACTAGATCTAACTGTGTAGGTGAATCTGAGCTTTGAGATAGAGAAGCTGAGAGCGGAACTGAAACATGTTCAGGAGATGTACGCAATGGCTCAAACCGAGACTGTGGACGCCTCGAAAAAGGTTTTGTTTAATAGAAACTGTGGTGTTTTTGGCATTATGTTACATTTTCATGTTCTTATTTCTTTGTGTTTGGTTGTAGCTGACGGAGCTAAACCAGAGACGGTTCGAGGAATCAGAGAAGCTAGTGGATCTGAAGGGAAAGGAAGTAGCAGCGAAAGATACAGCTTCAAAGGAGAAGAAGAGGTACGAAGAGGCGATGAAGGAAGCAGAGAAAGTTAAAGAACTCATGATGAGAGAGGCTTTACATAGAAGAGAAGCTGAGATCAAAGCAGAGCGTGACGCTAAAGAGAAAGATAAGCTCCAGGCTTCTCTCGTCTCTCCAGGGATCCAATACCAACATTACTCCTGGGAGGAAATCGCAGCCGCGACTTCAGACTTCTCGGAAGATCTCAAGATCGGAATCGGAGCCTATGGAACGGTTTACAAGTGCAATCTTCACCACACTACAGGCGCTGTAAAGGTCCTTCACGCAGGAGAAACTCAGCTCTCTAAACAGTTTGATCAAGAGCTTGAGATCTTGAGCAAGATCCGTCATCCTCATCTCGTTCTTCTCCTCGGAGCATGTCCTGAACGAGGCTGCCTTGTCTACGAGTACATGGACAATGGAAGCTTAGATGATAGGTTGATGCGAGTCAACGACACACCTCCGATCCCTTGGTTCGAGCGTTTCAGGATCGCTTTAGAAGTCGCTTCAGCGCTTGTCTTCCTTCACAAATCCAAGCCGAGACCGATCATTCACCGCGACCTCAAACCGGGAAACATCTTGCTTGACCATAACTACGTCAGCAAGCTCGGCGACGTGGGTCTCTCCACGATGGTTAACCAAGACGACGCTGCTTCTAAGCTTACCGTATTCAAGAAAACCAGTCCCGTGGGGACGCTCTGTTACATCGACCCTGAGTATCAGCGAACCGGGATCATCTCGCCTAAATCAGATGTGTATTCTCTAGGGGTTGTGATTCTTCAGCTGATTACCGCGAAACCGGCGATAGCGATTACTCACATGGTGGAAGAAGCGATTGGAGACGATGCTGAGTTTATGGCAATGTTGGATGTGAAAGCTGGATCTTGGCCTATTAGTGAGACTCGTGAGTTAGCTGCTTTGGGGCTGTGTTGTACGGAGCTGAGACGCAGAGACAGACCAGATCTTAAAGATCAGATCATTCCGGCTTTGGAACGGCTTCGGAAAGTTGTAGACAAAGCTAAAAACTCGCTCTCGAGAAATCCGTCTGGTCCTCCGTCTCACTTTATTTGTCCACTTCTCAAGGTTTAATTAAAACCCTAAGCTATGCTTAGTTACTTGTGAAACAAGAAACTCCTGTTTTCTTCTTGGTTTTGACCTAATTGTTTTTTGTGTTTGATCACAGGGAGTGATGAACGAGCCGTGCGTAGCTGCGGATGGATACACTTACGACCGTGAAGCCATAGAGGACTGGTTGAGAGAGAAGGATACGTCGCCGGTGACGAACCTTCCATTGCCTAACAAGCACCTTCTTGCTAATTACACTCTTTACTCAGCAATCATGGAGTGGAAATCTAATAAAAAATAGTGACACAAAATCCACAATAAGTACGATCGATTCTATCAATGTGTTTGCTATGATGTTTTTGTGTGTCTTTCTTCTCTCTGTTCCGAGGATTTATCTTTTGTGTGATGAGATGCAAGATTACAACAATAGAGAAAGAGAGAGTTAAATGTCTTTTGATTTAATTTTCTTTGTGTTTCCTGTCTCTTGTTTCTTCTCTTTATTGGTAACAATGTTACTCTAGTTTGAACTTTGAATCTCCCAAAAAGCTCTTGGCTTATCCAGTTATTCAATCTAGTGATTGTTTTATCATTCTATTTTTTCTCGTCTTTATATTTTTTATACGTATTAAAACAAATGTTGACGTAGACAAAACGTTCAATCAAACAAATCAAAATTTAAACCCAATCAAATTTGCCAAACCATAACATAAAGAAATTCCAGTCCTGACCATAGTAAAAGTGTAAAACTAAAAATTCGTGTACAACTAATTCGCACACCACAAATTTTGAATCCGAGTTATAGCATGACATCAGCCTGAATATAAACCACTAAATTATAAATTCTAGTTAAATGATAAAAACTTGTTTGAACACAAATAGAATTAAGCTCGACTGATCTGTAGATTTTGGACCAACAATATTCAATAAGATAGAAGCCGCACCTACTCTCATGTCAAACATTAACTCTCCACTATAACTTAAGGCCAACAATTTCACATAATCAATGATAAAGTTTAAAACTGTACTTATCAAACGCATAGCTTAAGTGCTCTACACAACATCCTTATCTCAGATTACCACCATCTGTTATTTTGTCCAACATTAATCGAATGTCGACTACACGAACACGAGGCATTTATTGCACATAATAAATGCGAAAAGTACATCTGTACATTCATATTGGACTCAAGTCTCTCAACTATAAATACATCCACAAGTAATCCGATGAAAAAAATTCAATTTAATATTTATCCGTTTTATTGTTTTTGTTTTGCTGACATTGTTTCATACTGTAATTTTTAGTGTTTTGAGATTTTACATAGCTTAAAAATACTAGTATACTTGAGATATTGGAATAGTTGTTTCATTGATTAAAAGAGGTGAGCAAATGAGAGCAAATTAGTAAATGGATAAGTTCACACTGAAAATAAAAGCAATATTCTCATGTTAACAATATAATAATCGAACGATAGTCTTTATAAAACAAAAAGAATATCATCTACCTTTTTAAATGTCATCTAAAATGCTGAAATGGTCAAAGCAATGAGCATCGGTCTTTGAGTTCTGTAAGCTGCTCTTTGAAACATGTTTGAGCCTAAGTATAAAAAAATCATTTAAAAATCTCTTTCATGTCACTACAAAAAAATTCTCAAAAGAAACCATATTGTAGTTGAACAAGAACAAGAAGAAGATACAAAATTGTTTTCTCTGCAGAAATGAAACACCCCACGAATTGAAAAGTCAACAATATTGATTAAACAAGTTGGTAGTCCGACAAAAGCCCAAGTTGTTCTGACTTTCGACGTCATCACGTTTCTCAAACCTTTGAGAGTTGAGACTACCGGAATAGACAGCACATATTCACACAAACAACCAAACTCTTCTAGACTCCTTTTGACATTTTCCAATCTTCTCTTCGTTTTTAATCATTATTCTTTTGAATCTTGTTTTCATATATTATGCTATTTCCATTAAGAATTTCAACACCTTTGAGCATAAAATTCCGTATAACTCCACTATTTTAATGAGGAGACCTTTTCACTGACTCAAATCTGATTCGTCATCTTCATTTCTCCTCTCCTCTCTCTCTCTCTCGCCATTTGTCAAGTTTCTCGGAAAAGCTTGAAGCTTTGAAGTCAAACATCATTAGGTATCTATCTTCAAATCTTATCTCATCCTACCACCATTGTTTAGCCTTTCTGGTATTTTCTTGAAAATTTTACAAATACAAAACCTTAAACCCTCATGATCTTAGCCGTTGATTTCATTAACCAGATCTTCCATCCTTTAATCATTATTTTTAAATTATTTTTTTATCCATTAAGGATTCAACTTGTTTGAGTTTGCCTAGAAAATGTCTTTGTAACTACATTAATTATTAATCATATAAAAACAGACTATTTCATGTCTCTCTCTCTCTCTCTTCTCTCTGTTTTGTCTCCTTAAGCTGTTAAAATCATCTCCACGAGGAGATTAAGGAAACAAAAGCTTGAAGCTTTGGAGTAAAAAACCATCAGCTTATCCGTTGAGAGCAGATCTTAGCGGTTGAGGATTAAGATATGGGAGACGGAGCTTTAATCGTAGCGGTAGCGATTAAAGGGAACAACAGCAAAACCAAAGGCGTTGTTCGATGGGCACTTCAACAATTCGCTTCTCAAGAACATGTCGTCTTCAAGCTCTTACATGTCCAACCAAGTAAGTTACTATTTATAGATGGACTTTACACAAGTTACTTGCAATCTTTTTGATATTTAAGTCCAAAAATTCGATCTGATCTGTAGTAAAAATAGGAGACTCGCATTCGGTTTCGTCCACAAGATCCAATTCGAACACTACAACGGTTTACAAGAAAGATGTTGATAGGAAAACCAGAGAGATGCTTATTCCAAGCAGAGACATGTTTGCTCATAGAGAGGTATCTGTTTAAAAACTGGACTTGGTTTGTTGTTTCTTGTTTTTGTTATCAAGAATCTGAAATCTTGTGAAATGTGGGAATGTGAAAGGTTGAATTGGATATAATGGTACTCGAATCAGACGATGTAGCTGATGCAATCTCTAAAGCTGTTCAAGATCATGGAATCAGTGAGCTAGTTATTGGAGCTTCCTCTTCTATTATCTTCTCATGGTAAAACATAATCAAAACACTTTCGAATTCTCTTGTGTTTTTTTTTTTTCCGATTATGTTCTTTAATTTTTGTTTGCTTCTTTTGCAGGAAGTTGAAGAGAAGCAACTTGTCTTCAAGAATTACAGATGTAACACCAAGATTTTGCACGGTTCACGTAATCTCTAAAGGAAAGCTTCTCAACGTTCGTAAATCCGATGTAGACATTGAAACAAGCATTGCAGATGAGAGAAGCGAAAGCCAGTTCTCTTCAAGTAGCCATTCAGGTATTCAATAAGGAACACACAAGAAGTTCTTGAAAACTTGATTTGATTGGCATTTTTCTTAACGTTTTAGGGTCAGTAAATTCGACGTCGAGTCATCAGTTCTCATCTGCGCCTTTACTCTTTCAAAGAATCCAAGCGCTTTCAACGGTTAACCAAAAGGTCGGCACTAAGATGGGAACAAAGAAAGATATTGATACACACCATAACAGAGCCGCGTCTCTAGATGTTGATGATACAAAGATGCTTAACCAAAAGGGCTTTTACCGAACAAACAGCTCCGGAATCGGGTATGGAGGAGGAAGTGAGATCCACAGCAGGAGAAGCTCTCTTACCGATGAGGGCTCAAGCTCAAGTTGCTACAGCGACCCTACTTCATCTAGCAGTCAGGTATATATATATATACTTTCATTTCAAAAGCAATTGGAAATTAGTGGAATGATCCGTTTAAGTATATCTTATGTTTTTTGAATGTGTGATTTGTGACACATAGGTGAATAAAGACTTTGAGCTAGAGAAGCTGAAGATTGAGCTCCGTCACATTAAAGGAATGTATGCAGTAGCTCAAAGCGAAGTCATGGATGCTTCTAAAAAGGTTCACCTTTTTGTTACAATAATATTTGAGCATTTTTGGAAAGTTCCTTTTTTTTAGAAAGTTTTGTTTTTATTTATCAGATGCAAGATTTGAACCAGCGTCGGTCAGAGGAAGCGACGAGGCTCAAGAACTTAACGATAAGAGAAGAGGACGCGGAAGAAGTGGTGGAAATGGAGAGGGAGAGGCAAGAGGAGGCGGAGAACGAAGCAGAGCTCGTGAGAGAATGCGTTGAGAGAGAGATTGAAGACAGACTTGAGGCGGAAGCAAGAGCGGAAGATGTTAGAAAAGAGAAGCAGAGGCTAGAGGATGCTCTTGAAGGAGGACCGCTTCAACGTCAACAATACATGAAGTTTGAGTGGGAAGAGATCGTTGAAGCCACGTCATCGTTCTCTGACGAGCTTAAAATCGGAATGGGCGGTTACGGAAGTGTCTATCGGTGTAACTTGCATCACACGACTGTAGCTGTCAAGGTTCTTCATTCAGACAAGAGTAGCTTAACCAAACAGTTTCACCAAGAGGTAAGTAAAAACACATCTTTCACTTTTTTACTCGAAGCAAAATTACTGTTCTGCTAAAACGATGCCGTTTTTTTTTTGTTGTTGATACTTCTTCAGCTTGAGATTCTTAGCAAGATTCGTCACCCACACTTGCTTCTCCTCCTAGGCGCGTGTCCAGAACGCGGCAGCTTAATCTACGAGTACATGCACAACGGAAGCCTCGAGGAAAGACTCATGAAGCGCCGACCAAACGCTGACGCACCGCAACCGCCGTTACGGTGGTTCGAGCGGTTCCGAATCGCTTGGGAGATCGCTTCAGCTCTTTACTTTCTCCACACAAACGAACCAAGACCAATCGTCCACCGCGACCTTAAACCGGCTAATATACTCCTAGACCGGAACAATGTGAGCAAAATCGGAGACGTAGGACTGTCCAAAATGGTTAATCTCGATCCTTCTCATGCCTCAACTGTTTTCAACGAGACCGGTCCGGTAGGAACGTTCTTCTACATCGATCCCGAGTACCAAAGAACCGGTGTGGTCACTCCAGAATCTGATATCTACGCATTTGGAATCATACTTCTTCAGCTAGTTACGGCTAGATCGGCGATGGGATTGGCTCATTCGGTAGAGAAAGCGTTGAGAGATCAAACCGGAAAATTCACAGAGATTTTGGATAAGACTGCTGGAGATTGGCCGGTTAAGGAAGCGAAGGAGATGGTTATGTTAGGGCTGAGATGTTCGGAGATGAGAAAGCGTGAACGTCCCGATTTAGGGAAAGAAATTCTACCGATTCTTGAACGGTTAAAAGAAGTTGCTTATAACGCAAGAAACATGTTTGCTGAAACCCTAAACGACCGTCACCACCACGCTCCGAGCCATTTCTACTGTCCAATAACTAAGGTAATGATAATAATCGCATTTCACGTCAGATACATAAATTATATGCTTGGTTTTAATCATTTTAATATGGTTTCTATTGATGAAATTAGGATGTGATGGAGAATCCATGTGTTGCTGCGGACGGATATACATACGAAAAAAGAGCTATTAAGGAATGGCTTCAGAAGAATCATAAATCTCCAGTAACGGATTTGCCTTTCCCTAATGATTCTCTTCTTCCTAATCATTCTCTTCTTTCTGCTATTAAAGAATGGAGATCACATCTAATTAAGTAGAAAAGAGGTTCAAAGTTACAAGGCTAAACTCGTGGATTAACATGCATCATTGTGTTTTTTTTTTCTTTACGCCACGATTGCGCACACACATACGTACACAAGTAGATAAACGTTCGTGTTTATAAATATTTTGAATTATCGAGTGTTTGTATGTAAAATGTACCTTTATTCATTATAACGGTACAATAGGTTTTGACTTTGCACTTTGTTTTTGGTTTTTTTAATCATATTTTCTTGTAGTTGTACATATATATACATACAAGAAACACATTTTATTCGTGTGTTTTCACGTCCGATTTTGTTGAATATTAGTTAGATAGAAAAAACCATGGACGGAAAAAGCATGAAATTGAATTTGCATTTGAAAAGGGTACAGCTTTTATTAAATCATTAGTTGTGTACATGTATCATTTGTTCCCATTGGATCGCAAAGTTGGCGTATGGTTCCCATTATGAAGATACCCATATCTTTTATCATTCTGTATTTTGGTCCAACCACTTTTGTTTTTTCTTAACATCTATCGGGGCCTATGGTCCCGTAGGCCATAGGAAAAGAAAAGTCTTACTTAAAAGTATTATGTTTTTCGCACAAAAAAAAAATATTATGTTTAAAATTAATTAACTCGTATGTTTTTTCCTCACGTTCGATTTTGTTGATCATATAAATGTTACATATGTTAAATAGTATACGTGTAACGATCTGGTTATGTGATACTGTCACGACACCTAGGCCATTAAATGGTGTGGGTTCTGTGTATTATTATTTTTCTGGCTTGGTTTATAACTTTAGATTATACGTTATATATCCCAAACCAAAACGAGGCTTAAAACAAAAAATTATCGAGAAAGTATATATAATAATAATGACCAGCTATATATATGTAAGAAAATTATTTGGTTTTGTACGCATACATACGAATCACAACTCACTTGGAATTTTTGTTTATGAGCAATTTGCAGCGGTTTTACAAGTTTATTCTTGTTGATTCGACTCTACTACATAGTTTTCATTCTGAATGAGTAAAACCGCTGCAAATTGTTCATAAACAAAAATGCCAAGTGAGTTGTGATTGTTGAATGGCAAGTGACATGAAGGGTCCCCTCATCAACCTTTGATATGTCAGTATGGCAATTGTGATTGGAGTGGGACTATAAAAGGACTATTCCTTGTAGGATAACAATTCTGTCCTTATATTATCAAGATTTCATCATACTGAATGAAAGTAAGAGTACTTGAGTTCTGTTATTGGCTAGCTCCTTATACTTGAGTTCTGATAAGTGATAACATAAGTAGGAGTATTTATTTAAATTTCACACATCCGTTAGGCCTGGAAAACGGATATTTATTAGAAAAAAAAAATTAGAGGAAAACTATGAGACAATCTAATCGGGAATGTAAATGTAGTATTAGTCACACACGCACTTCAAGTTTCAACTACCATCACTAGTCAAAGTCAAACCCAAACTCAATTATCATCGTTTCATTACCATTTGCCACTCTCACAATACTTCAATTTATTCATTCAATACATAAACAGTACATTCTGAATTCATAAGATTGGATTTCAAATGTTTGTTTCCAACTTTTAATGCATGACTGACTTCGTACCAAAAAACGAAACAAGATCATTTAAGTAAACGTTTTCAAAGTAAAACACCATAATGACATAACTAAATTAGTCCTTCCAAGAAATTGACCTAACACAATTGGATTTGAGTAGGTCGTCGTAAAACTTATACTAATTGGTTGAGAACTTGAGAGGAGCATAAAAAAACACATTTCAATAATAGCCATGAAACAACTCATAAGTCCACACTGATACAACTATAACATGTTTTCAGATCTATTTATCATCTCCATTACAGACCATCTATGTACATATCTCTACTGTGAACACAAAAAGTTTCAATTATTCTTACTTTTTTCCTTTTTCCATTTTTATTCTCATACCTAAAAAAAGAAACTTTCCCGCAGCTTTCACAAGTCACTTAATACCCAAATTCTAATTTCCTGAAAATCCGGAAAGCAGAAACATTTCTATGAGATGAGAAAAACCCATTTGCTAAAACTGATACTTGCAGTATCTCTACCAACGACATTCTTGATCGGAATCGCCATCATCGTAATCTTCATCTTCTGCAGAAGAGGAGGCACAACAACAGAGACAAGTGAATCCCAAAACGACGTCGAATCTCCTTCTAAAGAGAAACAAGAATTTTCCGACAACGGATCCGAAACAGAGGAGGAGCTTGTCATTTTCGACGGCGGAGAAGATCTCACGATCTGCGACATCCTCGAAGCTCCCGGAGAAGTAATCGGAAAATCAAGCTACGGAACATTATACAAAGCGTCGTTGCAGCGAAGCGGGAAAGTTCGGGTTCTTAGATTCCTTCGACCTCTGTGTGCAGTCTCATCGGATTCGAAAGAGTTTGATGGCGTCATCGAGTCGCTTGGATTCGTCCGACACGATAATTTGGTTCCTCTGTTAGGGTTCTATGTCGGGAACAGAGGAGAGAAGCTTATGGTCCATCCCTTCTTCAGTTCCGGGAATCTTTCCGATTTCATCAGAAGTAAGTCTACGTTTCTTTTTTCTCGAGAAAATGCGCCAATGCCGGAAAATATTAAAGGAACAAACTTTTTAGCTGTCTGGATTTGCTTTTGTTTCTGTGTTTTCTGGAAACAGAGTCCTGAGTTCTTATTTTCTCGGGAGAAGGTAAAAAATTATAAGAAAAAGTTACCGTTACCACTATCTTCTATATTTTCTTTAAACTCTAAGATCCTTTCGTCAGATCAAATCACACGGCAAATGTAGTCGATCGATAAGAAATTATGTTATCTTTACATTTTCATACAATATCATAACATTTTATTGTTTTATCCTCTTTGACAAAAGAAAAGGAATAGTTTTTTTTTTGGTTCTCTAGCATCGCCATTATTGATCTATCTTTTGTCGGTAACTACTTTTCTGGTCACTTCCCACTTCTCATGCCTACCATGAAAGACAAAAACTTTATACTGTACATCTCTCATTTCAGAACATCGACATCAGCAAAAAACATTAATTTTCTAGTATCAATATTCATCATATACGGTTTTGGCAGGTGGAGATGTTGAATCACACAAATGGAGTAACATTTTGAGCATCACCATTGGAATAGCCAAAGCTCTTGATCATCTCCATACAGGAATGCAGAAACCAATCCTTCACGGGAATCTGAAGTCGAAAAACGTTCTTTTAGACCCCAGTTTTAGGCCAAGAGTCTCTGATTTCGGCTTGCATTTGCTCTTGAACCTCGCGGCTGGGCAAGAGATCCTAGAAGCTTCAGCTGCAGAGGGGTACAAAGCACCTGAGCTGATAAAGATGAAGGAAGTAAGCAGAGAGAGCGATGTGTACAGTTTCGGTGTGATCATGCTTGAGCTAGTCTCTGGTAAAGAGCCGCCGATGAACAAAAACAAAAGGGGTTACGTTCCTGATCATAACAAGTTGTCGGATTTGTACCGTCCTGAGATTCTTGGGAGTGGCGTGACCGAAGAACGTGTCCACGAATACATTCAGCTTGCAATGTCTTGTTGCTCTACATCACCTTCTCTAAGGCCAAGCTTCAAGCAAGTATTAAGGAAACTTGAGATCAGGAAATGATCCCTAGCATACTGACGTGACAAGAGAATGTTCGAATCTTTCAAGCATTTTCAGATACTACAAGATCGATTAACAGCATAGAGCGGAGAACACAGGTAAGAGCCTTCTTGAACAAGTTCTAGCTTGTGAATGTTTTTACAGAGAAGTATTTGTCTGATTATCTACAGAAGTAACCGAAGATTGATCAAACGTTTTGCTTAGGCGGACTTCCAGGACAGTGAATGGCGAATACCTGAGAAAGGAATGTACATTCAGACGCCAACAAGAGACTTGAGGAACTTGAGAAGGCCTTTATCATCAAAAGGCCTTGCTCGGTATGTGCAGCAAGATGTATGATTCTTGAGTTGTATACCTGAAATCTCTGGACCTTGCTCTGAAAGAGATCCTTGTGAGTTTACACAAGGTATCATGAAACTAAACTTGTAAGCGTATGTTATAAACTAAACTTGCTTGATATCATTCTGACACATTCTAAGGAACAGCAACATTGCTTCTTCTCTGTACTCAGAGATCGTATAACCAGAGATCGCAGCAAATAATCTCAAAAAAAATATCAATCCCATCGCGGTGAAAACCCGTTCTTCGTCGCTCCAACCATTAACACAGTCCACGAGAAAACACTCTTTTTGGGGGAATTTCGTCGAACACTTGACGAGCAGAACCAAAGTCGGAGCATTTGGAGTATGATTCAGCATTACCGTCAACGAATTAACCAAGAAATGAAGTTTAATAATAACCGCCATGAATCGATTGCGTTCTCTCCAGACACCTTGAATGATTTTATCTGCAGAATTTCGTGAAAGCTCTATCAATGTCGTAGCTGAATAAGGCTCCTCTCGGGTCCCACGATATCCTAACCGATGAGCTCATCTCAGATGTGTTTAGGATATCCAGAAACAGAGGATTCCGCAAAAAGGGACGATCTTTTTACCCGGGAAAATCAGAGTTTCCGTAACAAGAACTAACGAACTAAAAACATTGAGGTTTACTAAAACCGGCATGATGTGCTATCTCATTTATTAGGAACGGCATACTGTATGTCTTCTGAGTTTTATTACAATTTTTATTTTCAAAGCTCTGATTTTTATTTTATTTTCTTCTTTGATCCTTCGTTTTGTTGATCTTTGCTGTGACTTCAACAGAGGTTTCAATCCCAGAAATTCGGAATTTTTTCTCCGAACAAATGGAAGCTTCGATTTCGTTTCTTGGGTCAACAAAACCCAGTCTTTCATCCCTTATTCCTTCTTCGAACGTCCTTCATCGTTGTCTTCGGCGAGATTTCCCACTTCCTGCTTTGAAATTGAAGAACGTCTCAGTGTTCCCGCGTATCTCGCATCGGAACCGCCTAATCAGAGCTCAGTGCTCCGATGGAATTGCGCCAGAGGAAGGCGATGGGTTTGTGCTAGAAGACGTCCCTCACTTGACCAAATTTCTCCCTGATTTACCGGTAAAGCTCTCTACTTTTTGATTCTCCTTGTTTCTCTCTCGTTACTGCATAGAAGCTTATAGAAGTTGGATTGAGGAGAAAGGAGATATTAGTTTACGAATTGAAATCTCGAACTTGAGTAATGGAGATTTGTAAATGCAACTCAAGGATCTGATTAGTTTGCTGGTATCTCTATAATGTATTCATCTTTTGTCAAGTCATGAGCTTTTCCATTTAAAGGTAATAGCTTTTATCCTGGGTTTAATAATGTTTTGCTTGTTGTTTCTGATATCACACAGTCGTACCCAAATCCATTGAAGGAAAGCCAAGCATATGCCATTGTTAAGTAAGTTGTATTTCTACATGGCAAAGTTGTAAACTTTACTAATGCCTTTGAGGGTTTGTAATGTATTTGTTCATGTGGTTTCTGTAGGCGAACTTTTGTCAGTTCTGAAGACGTGGTTGCCCAAAATGTAAGCTTAAGCTCTTCTTTACTTTGATTTGTGGTGATTCGTTTGCTCAAGGTCCTTCATTTTTAGATTGTAGTGCAGAAAGGAAGTAAACGAGGAGTACACTTTAGGCGAGCAGGGCCACGAGAAAGAGTATGGTTTCTTTCTTCTTAGAAGTCTTGACCTTTTGTGGATAATTTTGGCTACTGAGACCTGTTAAGCTTTGGCTTCTTCACAGGTGTACTTCAGATCAGATGATGTCAAAGCTTGCATAGTGACTTGTGGGGGATTGTGCCCTGGGATAAATACAGTTATACGGGAAATTGTATGTGGATTGCACAATATGTATGGTGTCAACAACATTCTTGGCATTGAGGGAGGATATAAAGGATTTTACTCCAAAAACACAATGACCCTGACGCCTAAAGTAGTCAATGATATCCATAAACGCGGTGGCACTTTTCTTCAGACCTCGAGAGGAGGACATGATACAGCGAAGATTGTTGATAACATTCAAGATAGAGGAATTAATCAGGTAGCTAATATAAGTAATCTCACAAAATTTCCAGGTTTCTTGAAACTGATCCGTGCTAATATCTTGTCAACAAGTATTTCAGGTGTATATCATTGGAGGTGATGGGACACAAAAGGGTGCAGAGAAAATATACCAGGTGATTTATGATCACATAGTATGTTTGTATGTAGCATTACGTAAATTCTGTTGATACTTGCTTCATGTTATGTGAAGGAAGTCGAGAGGCGTGGTCTTCAAGTGGCGGTTTCTGGCATTCCCAAGACAATTGATAACGATATTGCTGTGAGTACTCATTGATATTCTGCATACTTTTCTCTCATATTGAGTTCCTTATACATCTTCTTCACCCATTGTTCTAGGTGATTGACAAATCGTTTGGGTTTGATACGGCTGTTGAGGAAGCTCAGAGAGCTATTAATGCTGCACATGTAGAGGTCGAGAGTGTGGAAAATGGAGTTGGTATTGTTAAACTGATGGGCAGATATAGCGGTAAACAAGTTCTGTTGGCATGTGTGGTTTTCATTCTTTTGTGAACCTCTTACTGAAATATCATCTTTCTGTAGGTTTTATTGCCATGATTGCAACATTAGCGAACCGTGATGTGGTAATAGCTTCTACTTTGATTTGTCAAATTGTCACCATAAAGTTCTCTCCTAAGGTATAAAAAGCATTATTTGAACTTTGAAATGTGACAGGATTGTTGCTTGATTCCGGAGTCTCCATTCTTTCTTGAAGGAAAAGGTGGGCTCTTTGAGTTTATTGAACAACGACTCAAAGAGAACAGGCACATGGTTATTGTGATAGCTGAAGGTGCTGGACAGGATTATGTTTCTCAAAGCATGCTTGCATCTGAAACTAAAGACGCTTCAGGAAATAAGCTCTTGCTTGATGTTGGTCTATGGCTGACTCAACAGATAAAGGTAATGGTTGAAACTCGAAAGTTCAGAAAATGGCTTTTAGATGTTTCTCGCAAAAACACTTAAGATGAGTTCTGTGATCACAATGTTGCAGGATCACTTTACAAATGTTCGGAAAATGACGATAAACATGAAGTACATAGGTATATCCTCAGATTCCCTCTCTAACTCTATCTTGGTAATGCTCTTCTTTGCATTTTATTGACATCATTGTACTTGTTGAGCAGACCCAACGTATATGATAAGAGCAATACCGAGTAACGCATCAGACAATGTCTATTGCACTCTTCTTGCCCAAAGTGCGGTTCATGGAGCAATGGCCGGATACTCAGGCTTCACTGTGGGACCAGTTAACAGCAGACATGCTTACATCCCAATTTCTGTAAGCAAATTACCTTTTTACTTCTCTAATCATTCTTAGACTAAATCAGTCATTGAGGAAGCTTGAAACATGTTGTGCTTCTGCAGCGGGTGACTGAAGTGACCAATACAGTGAAGTTAACGGATAGAATGTGGGCAAGACTCCTTGCATCGACGAACCAACCGAGTTTCGTGACTAATGAAGGAGCATCGCAGAATGTGATTGACATGGAAACTCCAGAAAAGCTTGATAACATGAAGATCTCTTCTAACTAAGAAACAGGTCAGCTCATGTTTCATCAACTGTTCCCAAATGTATACGAGACATATGCATAGAAGATATATATCTTTGTTGACAACAGTTGAGTATTATGATTCCTTTGGTTTATTATTAAATCCGTAATAAGAATACTCAACATCCATCTCATCATTGAGATGGAGATGGAGATGTAAATACATATCTTTAGTTTCCCTCTCTCTTTCTCTGTCTGCTTTTTCAATTCTGCAACTTGTGCATCTTTAGCTGTTGCGTGTGGTCCATCGAATTCCTTGTCAGATTTGCAAACGAAAGCTGACTTGTACCCAACCATGAGACAAAACTCTGGCTCCTATAGTATTTAATTCTGGTCCCTCTTGCAACTTGTTCATCTACACTCTATTCATTGATCCACGCTTTAACTTCTGCACATGTGAACTCATCTATACCTCAGTGATGTCAAATACTAAAGCTGCTATAGGAAATGGATTTCGTGTGAGATTAAAGTTTCTCCTTTTAGACTTATAAAAGTCTTCTTTCAGGTTGTCTTTCGTTTCACCATCCCAATCTAACAAGGAATTAAAGATAATGAATCTGGAAACGTTTCTTGGACAAGAACTTTGTTTCTAGAACTTTGAGCTCCTATAAAGACATGAGTAAACAGAGAAGTTCCATTGTTACAGAAACTCTTTAGTACATACTTTGCAAGACTTTTTCACTACACTAATCTAACATTTCTTGGCTCTAGCCTCTCTATACAACATGATGCTTCACATACTTGGATTATTTACCTATATATATACTAATTAAACATCACTAATACTATTAGTCTGATGATGACGATGAATTACTCGTAGTTGTTCCTTGAGGCTCCAGTACATCGCTTCTTCTCCTCTTCCGGCATGAATTGACCGGAGCATCATACTTTCCGGCATCCAAAGGAAAGTTGAGCACAGCTTTTCTTCCCCTGAGCTTAAAAGCTGCATAGTCATAAGCTCTTGCAGCATCAAGATCACTCTCGAAAGTGCCTAACCAAATCCTAGATCCTTTCTTCGCTGGATCTCGAATCTCTGCTGCAAATTTCCCCCATGGCCTCCTTCTCACGCCTCTGTAGTGTCTTGTTTCTTCGAACATCTGTGGTCTTTTCCGGTTTGAGACAGTCTCAACCTCAGGTGATGTTGTTGTTGTTGTTGTTGTTGATGATGATGTTGACGATTCTGCTTCCGTTTGCAGCAACTCTTGGACATAGGAATCTGGATCAAGAACAGGTGAATCTGGTTCCAGTTTAGGAACTGGGTTAAAAGATTCTAGAGACCAGAGTCCTGCGACAAAAGCAGCATCATCGAATTCAAAATCTTGCATGAAACCATCAGGGATTATCAAGTCTTCAAACAGATGTTTCTGTAGAACCTCCACATCAGAGCTTTCCTCAAGAGTTGCCATTTTTATTTTTATCTTTTTCTTTTGCAGACAAGACAGAAGAAGAGAAAAATCTGCAAGTGATGTTTTGAAGAAAAGCTATGATCTTTTTTGGGATATATAAAGAGAGGAATCCTAAACATGTGTTTAGCAGCCATGGGTGTGAGGTGTCTTAAGTCCCTCTCTGTCTCTCTGGTTTACTATGTGGGTCCCGGTCTTATCCATTAACCATTAATGGAGACAAGTTAAGATCTTTTGTCAGGACTCATTCAAGTTGCGCCAACTTGATTTTGGCCCTGATGTTGACTAATATAATTTCCACTAACATCCCAAATTGATTCACGGTTCATATCCTAAGTTATTTGCTAACAAAATGGTGGTTTTTAGCTTTTTAATGGTGACTATTTGTCTTAACTATCATTTCAGTCTTCTAAATTTGCCTTCTCGTTAGTTTTCAATGATTTCGAACGTAACTTCTGCATTTTTTTAAATGAGAATCGTTATTAACTTTTTTGGAGTACTATATTATTTCTTTTTTTTTCATAATAAATTGCAAATGTAAACGCCAAACACAAAAATAATAATAATAGTGGTTGCACTAAAGTTCACATTTACAATTAATAAATAATTTTGATTGAAGAATTAATTGGTTAGACTTGTGGGTTCATTTGAAAAACATGCAATTTAAGACGTAAACGCAAAGCAAAACACACCAACAAAAACAAAATATAAAACTTGAAACACTAGTAGCGCCTTAGCGGTTTAAATCGAAATTCGATCCCTTAAAAGTTAAAATCAAAGTGTATTTTTACAATAAATGATATTCGTGATCGCAGTGACTCACCAGTGGAACTCTAAATATCAAAAGATATTTCCATTTTTACAATAGAAGTGACTCACCAGTTGAATCTAAAATCGATAAGATATTAATGACTTTTATCCACGAGGAGAGACAAATTCATCAAATTGCTTTTCTTGTAGGGTTCTCTTGCTAGCAACTTGCTAGAATATGATTTGAAGCAACTTGATTTTTCTTTCTTTCTAATTTAATTTCTTAGGGCTCCACATCTATAACCAAACCTTACCCTAATTGCTCAGTTCCTTGACAATTATACTCCTAATCTAAGAATAATTAATATTAAGTATTCGGCTTAATTTTTGTTTGTTAAAGTATTCCGCTTAATTTGATGATAACATGTAAGATAATATTGATTTTTCTCCTTTTACGGATGCTTTGTAGATAATCTTAGGCGGCATTATCCATTGATCGATGTGTTTCTACTCTTGAACTTTTGAAAACCTCAACTTTTCTTTTAGATTTTTGTGTTAATCAGTTTACTAATTGTTTGCGTGTTTTTTCTTACTATTCTAGTTTTACAGCTCCGTTTTGATTTTTCTGATCCAATTTTATAACCTATTGACTATTTGGCAGATGATGAGATATGAGCAAACGAAACTAATTACTACAAAAAAAATTCACAATTAACAAACTTATATAAACATCAACAAGTACAAATCCATTTCAGATTTTCAACATCCATATATTTCCTATAAGAAATTAAAGAATAAAATGATTGGTACTAAACTATTTTTTTTCTTGTCGACCATTTGGTACTACTAAACTACTAATTTGATATTTGTACACGACCGCTACACTTAGATACATATTATAAAAAATAAAGGAATTATGAGAGTGACGCAAGTGAAAACGTCATCGGTCGTTGACCTTTCCCAAGTTTCAAGTAACGGAGATAACGGAGAAGTTGGGAGACGTCGGAGATAACGGAGGAACACTGAAAATCCCATCTCCTGTTCCCACATCCCAAATCCCCATCCAACTTGACGGCGTCAAAGGTACCGCCTCAATCTCAGCTTCCACCTCCGTCGTCTCCGTTTTAATCCTAACCGCCTTCGCATGCTCTTCCTCTTCCACCGCCGGAGAACTCTTAACTCGCTTACGTTTCCCTAATCCGATGACTCCTTCCTCAAAACAACTCTCGGACGTAGCCCTCACATCGAGAGGGAAATTCAAGATTGCTTTTCTCCCACGCAATTGAAACGCCGCTTGGTCGTAAGCTCTTGCAGCTTCCAGAGCGGTGTCGTAAGTCCCAAGCCAAATCCTAGAACCCTTTTTGTTCGGATCCCTAATCTCCGCCGCGTATTTTCCCCATGGCCTCCTCCTCACTCCTCTGTAGTGCCTCTCCTCCTCCTCTTCCTCTGTCTTCTTGATCGTGCCAGAGACAGTTTTCGGCACGGATAGATTCGGTAAAGGCGGTTTACGCCGATTGAGAGTCGAGTTCGGTTTAGGTGTTTGGTGATTGATGGTTCTAGGGCTTGTTTCTGACTGAAAGTGGTTGGTAAACTGATAAGGGTCAGCTTCGTGATGTGTGAAATTGGAAAGTTTTGTCTCCATGGAAGCAAAATCTGTGAGAAGGTGTTGGCTTATGAATTCGATGGCTAAAGCTTCTTGTTTAGTTGCCATCTTCACTCCTACTTAGCTTAAGTAACACTCTTGATCTTTGTATATGTGTGTATGTGTGTGTTAGTGTGAAGAAGAGTGAGGAGAAATATGGTAATATATAGTGGTGTAAGCTTTGGAGCAAAAGAGAGGGTTCGAGGGAGTTTCGTGGATCGGACCGAGAAAGTTCATACTAGTTTGTGTTTGTTTGGAGTTTGGAATGGACTTCTGACTTGTTTCTTTTATCTTTAAGACTTCGTCGTTTTTTGTTTCTTTTGTCTTATTCCTCTACACATGGACTTTTGTCATTTAAAAGTACTTATCAAGTTATCATGATGAATTCTTTTACACTTTTTTAAGTTTTCAACATAAAAAGAGTTTCAAACTTTTGGACTATACACAAGGGTTATTGAGGATTAGATTAAGTGGAGTTGTTTGATTGAGATTTATTAAAATATAAGGTGTTTAATATTTTCTGAAAACCTACACGAGATTTTCTTTAGTCATATGCCAATTCTAGTCTTGTACATTACGTTGAATTTCAATGGTACTAAGTATAATTTAACACAAACATAATCAGAGTTTCAAAATTTTGGTCTATAAAAATACACAAGGGTTATTGAGATTTGATTTAAGTGGACTTGTTTGATTGATATTTATTAAGCTATAAGGAGTTTAATATTATCTGAAAACATGTAAAGTTTTTCTTTAGTCATATGCCAATTCTAGTCTTGTACATATTACGTTGAATTTCAATGGTACTAATTACTATACAATATAATGAAACAAAGTTACAACAAACATAATTGTATTGTTTTTAAATATTCTTTTTTTATATGCTTCTTTCACATAAACTTGTATCATCCATAATTCCATATTGCTGTATATATCTCAGGCTTGTTAAGCCATTCAAAGATTTGGGAACTTGCAAACAGACGTACATTCTACTTTCTTAAGATAACACGCCTTTCCGCCACAGCAAAAACAGTATTTTTGTCCTCTGTGTTTGGCACATAACACACGGACGCACGCATCTGGGGTTAACTGGCCCGCCTCAACACCTTCTGCGTTTCCAAAGAAGAAGAAAAATAAGAAATTAATAGATTAAAATGTATTTTTGTTAAAGGGCTTGCATTTATATATATATATAATAGATAAGAGTAAGGCTACAACCAAAGAAAGTAAAACCAAAAAGATCTACTAAAAGATCATAATAGATTAAAATGTAACGAATATATAACTATATATATACGATTACGATGGCGGTGGTGATGAATGATGAAAAAGGGAAACTCAATATGGATAATTGCATGCATATACATACATTCATGCAGAGGAACGAGGGAAATCAAGAAGAGGCAAAGGATAGCAAGATGTGATGAAGACATATCGTAATTGTAGAGAAACAGCACCGATAGTGCTTAGCACTAGCCCAAGACCGTAATACCCGAGAAACCCGAAAGAAACAATAAACCCTCTAAGTATGAAGAGAAATATGGAAGAACACAAGAGAATACTTGAAAGACTTTTAAGAAGAACAAGAGAGAACTTAGCTTTAGAACACTCTTTATTAACTTGTTCAATTTCTTGTGCATTTACAAATGAGGGGGTGAGGAGGTATTTATAGCCTCCCAAATCTACTTACAAAGTTTCTACACTCTTCTATAACCTCCTTAGGTCCTAGATATTTCTTCTTCTTCTTCTACAACTTTCTACAAATTATCTTACAAGTTTATCCTAATCTCTAGAACTCTCTAACATAATATCTAGATTTTTGTCTTACAAGAACTAGAAAGTTCTACATAAATATCTAGAGAGTTATCTAGTAGAATTCTCTAGAAAATTTGAGGAAGTGATGACCTCTTATGATGTTTCTAGAGAGTTCTAGAACTTGGGCCTAATTTTGGGTTTAATAATAATTTGTTTATGGACCCAAAATTAAACCTTGATCAAAATCAAGTTTAATTTCAATAGTAATTTTTTTTTTTTAAAGAACAGAAGTCTTGTTTCTATCTGATGGTGACAATTGACCCCTACGTACAATAGGTATTTTATATACGGTATGTAGGTTTACTAGTTTTAGTTCTTTCATACTCCATATGTTTCACAATATAAGGAGTTTTGAAGTTTTTCTTTTGTTTCATAATATAAGGGGTTTTCAAATTTTTGTGCAAAATTACATGTACTTTTGTTACTTTTGATTATTTATATTGTGCAGAATACTTTTTCATTGGTTGGAATGTTTTGAAATTGATGAGTAAATATATTTTATTGTAAAAAGTACAAAAATTAAATAGACTCTTAATATTTATGCAAAAACTAAAACCCCTTATATAATGAAACAGAGGGAGTATTACCAAGTAATAAAGTACTGTTGTCTAACGCTTGCCCTTTTTATTCTAAATTGTTCAAAGAAAAGTCAAACTCAAAGCAGTTTCCAGTTTTCAGTCCCATATCCTGGTGGATAACACTCTCTATGTTTCATATTGATTGATGTTTTAGGAGTTTTTTTGTTTCAAATTATAAAATGGGTCGATTTATACATGATATGACTAGATTGCGTTAAATAACTTTGCGGCCAAGCCTATCATCTTTATCTGTTTCCACTTTCCAAGCTACTTCGACTTCGAGTTTTACTGTTAAGTCACACAACGAGTAATATTCTAAAAAGAAAAAAGGGGTACACGTACATTTTGTGTCTAGTTTTAGATACGTCTATTTATTATATGCGCACGTATTTTCTGTGTCTATTTTTAGATACGTCTTTCATATCATATATGCACACGTAATATTACCGTTGTTATTATTATTGTTTTTCTATCTATTTCTACAATTTCTAATCGCTACTTTTTACCGTCAATATTTTTTTGACTCATTGTATTATCATTGATCGAACCTACAAACTAGAAGAATAGTCGACAGGAAAAATTATCCGTCAGACAAATATTGAATGTTGATTTTGTTTTATCCAAGAAATGAAGTTGAATTGTCTGACCACTATGACTAAAAGGAGCGACCACTCATCAATGCCAACGGCCACGGCTAAATAGTTTAATTATTCCGTTGGCTTCAAGAAGGAGCTTAGAAAAAGAAAGAAAAATGAGTTAGAGAGAACTAGAAACGGTTGTAGTTTGAGAACATACTCTAATAACACTTGTCATCCATGCCTTTTTATGGTTTAAACTTTAATTGTTTCAAAACTTTAGTTAAAAAAAAACGTTAATTGTATAATTAAATTGTACTATTTCTGAGATATTCACAATAGGTATCCAATCAAATAATACCAAATGGTACCAAATACTGGTGCATTCAATATAATAGCTGAGAGTGAAAGATTATCAAATAATTTTGAATACTTCTTGGAAAAGTGTGTCGGTATTAAGAAGTTCAATCTACTAGCTTGGTAACGATAAAATACTGATACAAAACATAAACTCTTCTCCAAAAAAATAAATAATCACATTGAACTTCAGTGTAACTTGAGTTTCACAAAAAAAGAAGAATAATACGAACGAAGCAAAACAAATAGATGTGCAGGAAGAGACAGAAAAAGGTGAATCAACCTGGCGTGGCGTAGAGCAACTTCACTCACAAAGGTCTCAACTGCATGCATAGACAACATTCTCTTCAGACACATATCGTACACGTAGACCCCACCATTCCCTTCTGTCCCGAGTCGACACTCTCTTTCATTTCAGAACTGTACCAACAAAATTCTATTACTGCCAAATGCAGATCTTCGGCATAAGAGATAAACCACCTGTCTATGCCGGTATAGCCACCGTATCCATCATGATCCTCACCGGTTTAACCCTCGCTGCTACGGCCGTGGCGTTAACCGTCATGCTGCCGTTTTTTTTAGTTCTTAGCCCGATTCTCATACCAGCAGTTATCACTTCGAGTTTCTTGGCCACGGGATTCTTAGCTTCTGGTAGCCTCGGAGCATCGGCGATCGCCCTCATTGTCTGGCTCTACAAGTAATTAATTAAGTAATCAAGATTTTTACCCTGAAAATAATAACTTATCAACTCTTATAATGCTTCAGTTATACCATTCACGGGTTGCGGTTGCATGAAATAAACATTTGTGGTTCGATTTCTAGGTTTAAATTTGGAGTATATAGGACTTATATGACATGGACGCGCGCGCATTAATATTTACTACGTCTTTTTTTGTGTGTATAAATTCATTAATTCAAATGTGTAGTTAGGCTGACAATATCAATTGTTCTTTTCTCAATTTTTGAATGAGTAATAAACTAATAACTAATAAAATAGGTTTTAAAAAATAAAACCAATAACTTTTGTAAAATTATTCATTTTCTTTTTAATAACAATCGATTTCGTTTTGTTAGGAAAAAATAATGTTTTCAATTACCAAATTATATTAGTGATATTTGGTTTGGTTCGATAATATTTGATAATTTAGTCCCAAAACCGTATTAAACGAATTATACATTGTGATGTTGTAAGAAAAAAGCACTGTAGAGCGTATGTGATAATGTGACTACGTTCCGTCTTGTAAAAAAAATGTTTATGTGTGATGGACACTTAGGAAAGAAGAGCATTCCAAATATACTCAGCTTGCACGAGAAATTCAGCCTGAGGGTGCTAACAAGCTATCGGGAGGACTTAAGCTACCAGAGGAAGACAAGCCTTTTGAAGGATATAAACTAGCGGAGGAAGATAAGCCTCTTGAAGGAGATAAACTGACGGAGGAAAATAAGCCGCCGAGAAAATATAACCCGGTGGAGGAAGACAAGCCGTCAGAAAAAGATCACATATCGTTGGCTATAGATAAGCCATCGGAGGAAGATAAGCCGCCAAGAAAAGATGACACCGCGGAGGAAGGCAAGACGTCAGAAAAAGATCACAAACTGTCGGAAATAAATAAGCCATCGGTGGAAGATAAGCCACCAAGAAAAGATGACACGGCGGAGGAAGGCAAGACGTCAGAAAAAGATCACAAACTGTCGGAAATAGATAAGCCATCGGAGGAAGATAAGCCACTAGGAGGAGCAAAACATAGGGAGGAAGCGCCACCAATCCCTGAGATATCAAAGGTGCTATTGATGTTCAACTTTTTCGTTTGACATTTTTATTTAGAGTTAAATGGATTTACGTTAGTGTTTTCAATTAATGGTAGGTTGAGCAAAACCCAATTCTCCCCAAGAGTTCCGCTCCACGCACGTCTGCTAAAAGATCTCATCAAATTCGACTCGCCATGGATCCTACTAAAGTACGATCTGTTTTTGTGAAAGAGTGCCAGAAAGTCCCTCGTGTAGGAGCTTTAGCATATAAATACTTTACTTCTCGTGACAAAAAATACATAAACTATATTCATATATGACGTATAATATGTCCCAACCATATATTTTTTATAATGATCGAAATATATCACAAATTTACATTGTTGTTAATTAATAAAAAGTGCGAGTAAGTTCGCTGTAAATAAAAATAATATTAATGCTTAAATTTAAGGAAACCACTGATGTGGAAATTCCTTTTCGACATGTCATATGGGATTTGTTTGGGTGAAATATAAAATATGTAAATATATTCTTCCATTTACCGTGTGCGTTCTAGAAGGACTATGCCTTAATTTTCCTTCCTTACATTTTTTTTTTATAGTTTCCTTCCTTACATTTTACATATAATTAGTTAAGATAAAAGTAAGTTTCAACTGCATTAGGATTGGGGATTGATATGGATAAAAATCTGAGTAAATTATGAGACTAATAAATTAAAAAATCGAATATACGATTTAATATCACAGCTATATACCCGGAATTAATATCCAGTCCTCGTTTAGCTGGAAAACAATCTAACGGCTTAAATATCCACTAAGCCTGACTTAAAAATATATAAACCGTTGATTAGGATCTTACGCTGATTCTGCTGGATTTTTCCTTATAATAACCAAGGTGAAAATTTCCAAATAAAAGAAGATAAATAAGGAAGTGCATTATCTCTTGAGGAAATTAAAAAAAAGGTAAAACACCAAAGACATCCACAAAAACAGCTCACACATATACGGATAAATATCGTATATATCTATAATTACACACAGATATTAAGATTATAAATACAATTTCCGAGATCGTGAAGAGATTCTTCCAATTCGTGTGACGTAGAGAGATCGAAAAGAAACACTCAGCAAGAGAGAGATGGTGAAGGAGACGGTGACGGCGGCGAAGACGTGCTCACACTGTGGCCACAATGGCCATAACGCACGGACTTGTCTTAACGGCGTTAACAAGGGAAGCATTAAACTGTTCGGCGTTAACATCTCGTCTGATCCGATTAGGTCTCCTGAGGTCACGGCGTTAAGGAAGAGTCTCAGTTTGGGAAACCTTGAATCGCTTCTCGCTAACGATATCAGTAACGCTATCGGTGATCCAGTCGCCGCCGTTGAAGATACCGGTTATCACTCCGATGGTCAGATTCATTCTAAAAAGGGTAAAGCCGCTCATGATAAGAAAAAGGGTAAGTTGTTTTATAATCTTAAACCAATTCTGTAATATAATGAAAGTATAAGAAAAATAATATATATATGAATCAAATTTCAGGGAAGCCATGGACGGAAGAAGAACATCGTATTTTCTTAGTCGGATTGAAGAAACTAGGGAAAGGAGACTGGAGAGGAATTGCAAAAAGCTACGTGACGACAAGAACACCAACACAAGTCGCTAGTCATGCTCAGAAATATTTTCTTAGGTTAAATGCTAACGACAAGAGAAAAAGACGTGCTAGTCTCTTTGACATCTCTCTCGAAAATCAGGTTTTTGGCCTTTGCCTTACTTCCCACGCAATCCATTGATCGATGTTTCTTTTAGGGTTTTTACTTTCTGATTCATTGATTTGATTGTATAGAAGGAGAAAGATAAGAACTCTACTCAAGTGGCAACAGATGAATCTACATCTTCATCAAGGACTCCATCTAGACAATTGATAACCGGATCTCAAGAGCCTGTACAAGGTCAAACTCAAACCGAGATTTCGAACAGGTTTCAGAATCTAACAGTGGAGTACTTGCCAATCTATCAAACCGTACCACCTTATTTTCCATCTTACATGTTCCATCCAATGTATTACGCCAATCCTGAACCAATGAGGTTTGTTCACCCTTCCGGTATACCTGTACCAAGGCATGTACCGATCGGTATGCCTCAATCTCAGTCAAATGAAGCTTCTAATCTGACAAAGAAAGACGGTTTGGAACTTGGTATCGGTTTGCCTCAGGCTCCTCCTCCTCCTCCACAAGCTACCGGAGCAACTCAAGGCTTCATTCCTGTGAAGTGAACTCGCATTTTTAAAAATTTGATTATATACTATATATAGGTATATTATATGGTTTTTGGTTATGAGTTTCATATGAATATATATCTCTATATTCAGAAGTTTTGTCATCCGGATTGTGTAGTATTTCTTTTTCTTTTATATATTATATTAGATTAAATAAACAAAGATATTTGGGTTTAAAATTAGCTGCTCCTTTATTGACCAAAAAAATAAAATCATGGCTTACAAACGATAGTCAAATGACTCAAATTTAATTAGGAAAAGAAGAACTAAAAAATGTTTAATTGATTTATTATTATTAACTAGTAAAAACCTTTAATCAGTTTCCTTGAAACTCGTCTGTTCCGACCAACATTGTGTGTGAGGTTTGGTTTGTCTGAATCTCCGAGTTCTAAGGTGGCGCCCAAGAAACCAGTCTGAGTTCCATCGCTATCATTGTCGATGTCTCCTTCGATCGTCAATCCTTCAATCCTAGCCGCAATAGATTCTTCTCTCATCCCAACATCCACATCTACAATATTCGATTTATATTAGTAAATATATGTATAACAGGTTGATAAACTAACAACTACTAATATCTTAGTCCAATCTTTAACGAATTTGATCAAGTTATCCTTAATTTGTGTAGGAAAAAACAAATACAAGACCGTACACACAGTGGATGAAGAACCAGTTGTCCGTTACAATACGCATGCAGGCTTTGATTCACTAATTCTATGTGTTATGTACTTTTATGTACTTGTGTGTTTACGTACTTGGATTTGAAAAAAGCCAAAGGACGAGAGCGCATGCAAAGAGGACAAAAGGAATGGCGTGAATAGCGTTTTCTGCGAACTTGGCACGTGGCTTCTCCTTCTTAACCATCTCTTCAGGTGGATTATTGTAGGAAGGTGGTTCGTCCTCGTCGAGTGGACCGATCATGGAGCCCATCCATAGTCCTTTAGGCGGTGCGGACGAGTAGTCTTCCGTCCCACGGTTCCAACTCGCAGATCTGTACATGTTGTTTTTCTGATTACCCTTTTTATCTTGATCAGTTTGTTACAAAAGCTCTATACAAAAAGAAGTTTTTGAAGGATATCTTGATGGTTTTGTAAACGAGCGTGATCAGTTTCTTCGTGACATTTTTAGTAATTCTTTGATTCACAATTTTGGTTTCTATAAAGAATTTTGTTTTTTCCTGATTTGATTGCGAATTTTTAGCCTATGGTTTTGGTACATTAGGACTTTGTCAAATCGTTCAATGGAATCTCACTCGTTTTCTTCCTTTTAGAGTGACAAAAACAATTACTTTGGATTCTTTTTCTATTTCGATTTGACATTTTACAATAATATATGCTATAAATCTAGGGATTATTTGAAAAATACCCTATTTAATTATTTATGTTTATGATTTTGAAAAATATCCTAGTTTTTTTTCGTTTTTGAAAATACACTTTTTTTTAATGCAAAAAAACTGTTTTGACATAATTTAATCAAAGCACTAATAAAGAATTACAATTACAAATTAAAACAAAATTCAAAATAATAGAATTAATAAGATTTTTTTTTTTCAGAAAGATATACATATGTTAACTTTAAAAAAAAAAGTGGATAAATCGATTTTCCATTTTTTATGTTTTCTTTGAAAAAAAAAATATTTTTGGAACTTTATATAAACAACCTTAATCTCATCCCTATTCCAACCAAATGAAAATTTATAAATTTAAACTTTACATATATTTAAACTTTATTAATTATTAGAAATTTAAAAGTGGATAAATCTATCTTCCATTTTTTCATGAATATCTTTAAACAAATTTACAAATTTTGGGCATTTTATATAAACAACCTTAATCTCAACCTCAATTAAACTTTATATAAACAATATTATATTATAAAAGAATTTTTAATAAAATCTAAACATATAATTATGATTGTTTAGTATTTTAAAATGAAAAAGAATTATAATCAAATTTTAATATTTTATATTTCTTATTTGAATTTCGTTTTTGAAAACTTCAAATTAGGATTATTAAGTCATTTCACATATAAAAAAAAATGTAAGCATCAAAGAATATATTTCCAAAATTTTCAAAAATTAAAAAATCATCAAAGAGTATATTTCCAAAATTTCTCATAAATCTATTGATAACTTGAGAGTTGTGACACTAATAAAAATAAATATTCTTAGCACAAAAAAGAGAAAAATAAATAAATATTAAAATTACACGAATTTGTATTGTATTAGCATATAAAAAGAATTGATTATTATAATACAAATTCACAAATCACTAGCAAACTAATTAGCAAGTTAAAACGAATTTAATTATACTATAACTAGGCGATTAAGCAAAATTTGGAATTTGGTCCCACGTTGCAATGATAAATAAAAATTAAATATTGGTAGTAAATCCGAAAATCTTCAGTTACCTCTTCTCAGCATAAGCCGACGCATCCTCCTCTCCACCTAGACCACTCTCCTCTGTTTCTCTTTCCCTCTCTTCAGATTTCGCCATGAACATACTTAACAGATTCGGCTTGGGAACCAGCAGACAAACCAACATGGATCCTTCTCCGATCGCACAGGGTCCTGATGACGACGCTCCGGCGCCGGGAAACTTATTTGCTCAATTCGGCGCCGGTTGCTTCTGGAGCGTCGAATTAGCGTACCAGAGGGTTCCGGGAGTGACTCAGACCGAAGTCGGTTACTCTCAAGGGATCACGCACAATCCGTCTTACGAGGATGTCTGCTCGAGCACCTCGAATCACGCCGAGGTTGTTCGTGTTCAGTATGATCCCAAAGTGTGTAGCTTTGAGTGTCTTCTTGATTTGTTCTGGTCTAGGCATGACCCTACCACCTTGAATCGCCAGGTACCAATTTTGCTCTTTCCATGTCTGATTGATTTTTGCGGGTCTAAAGTTGCAATTTTGGAGACTTCACGGAGATTTCTAGGGTTTCTTTTTGTGTGTGTGGTGCTGCTGCTGTGAAATTGAGATGGGTTTCTCTAGGGCTTGCTTGATTTTGCAAAATTCAGTGACTTTTGTTTCTAATTACATCAAACACTCTGTTTTATAGAGACCGCTTAACCAGTTGGAACATATATTACTTAATTTTTCATACTCTTACTCTGTTTTGGCACCTTCGTTGGTCTGTCTTGATGATTTTCTATCCTTTTAACTGATCAGGGTAATGATGTGGGAACGCAATACCGATCAGGGATATATTTCTACAGCCCGGAGCAAGAGAAACTAGCACGTGAATCACTGGAGCGTCACCAGAAACAAGTGGACAGGAAGATTGTGACAGAGATCTTACCGGCTAAGAAGTTCTACAGAGCTGAGGAACATCACCAGCAATACTTGTCTAAAGGAGGGCGGTTCGGTCTCAAGCAATCCACTGCAAAAGGCTGCAACGACCCGATCCGCTGCTACGGTTAAAGCCTTGCTCTTTATACCCCAAAAGCAGAGTATATTTTCACCTAATCTAAAGACTATAGATGTTGTGTGCAGAAAAATAAAGAAGCTGGGGTCTACTTATGTAACTTGTCTTGTTCATATAACTTCTGAGTGTATATAGTATTGTTTGGATGATTTTGGTTTTGTAGTGAATAATATATTCGAATTTAGTAATGAAGTGCTTGTAGTGAATAATCTAATTCGAATTTAGTAATGTTTTATAAGTAAAAATGAATATCTTTTGGTTGTGGCATAGTTTTTGTTTATTTGATCTCAGCATTAGATTCAAGATAAATCCCTAGGGCCGGTGATAATAACATTTTCTTGTCTAAGATTCTCTTATCTTAAACATTGCGTTTAGGGTGGATAAAGTTTTTAAACGATCAGCGAAAGCCAACTCCTGGACGAAAAGTATATTAGATACTCCAAAAATTAGGGATTGTATATGTTTATTTTTCCTTTTAGATTTAATGTGGTCTATCAACTAATATGCATAAAATAATTATAAATAAACTAAGCACCGTTCATACAATTGCTATAGAAGACTAAAATAAGTGAGGGAAGTCAAGCAAGTGAAAAAGACAGAAGCGGTAGTGATCTTGTGATAACCAAAATCTTTAAAATCTGCTTGATAACAAAATAAAAGAAAAGTTAGAATGTTGGATACGTGTTGTTCATTATCTTTCTAACGTGAATAGCACGAATTTACTTCAGCCTCCCAACTTTCTTACGTGGCTTTCCCTGAATCGCCCATAATTCATTTTCATTTCAATTAGATGCTATAAGTTATGATTGAAAGTTCATCGTTTTCGTCCCATTCGTCGAACATAAAGATTATTCTATTAGGACACGATACGATAAGATTATCATATTTTATTTTGTTCCAGACTAAACTTGAGGAGGATTCACGAACGTCAACGAAAATAAGTTTCGTGGGAAAAAATGTTTCATAAATTATCTAGCACAACACTTGTCTGAGGAATTACTTCTTTTAGTTGACGTTTGTGAATCTTAACTCTACAAGTTAAAGTTAAATTGTGCTAGTTTCTAACCTCTTAATTCTTGTATTAACCCGTAAGAGTTCACTGAAATGATTATACTATTAAAGTCTAAAGAAAATGATAACCCGATGAAGAAATCAGGGGCATTAGTTTGGTGGCTTAACCAATATAACTCCCAAGGAAAACCAAATCTTAAGATATTATTATTAGTTTATGTTCTTTCCCAAACACAATCACTAATAATCATATCCTCCTTATGCCAAAACTTGAGGTTATGAGTTTTCTTTTTTCCATCTAAGACAAGTTTAGCTACGAGCAAATTGTTTTTCATAAAATAGCTTGCAATCATTTTTGTATGAATATAAAAATTATACATTTGTACCTCACTTTATTCCTTTAACTTGAGTAGGACTTCAGCAAGACATCTTGATTCCTCATTTTTGTATGCTATGTGTATGTAAAACAATACATATATTCGAGCTATAAGACATCTTGCACAAGTTAATGCATATAAGTAAACAGTATAAACTAATCCTTGGTAATTTGATGGTTGGAAACTTTTCTACGTATTGAAAGACCAAGTATTGAGCCCAACTTCATTGTGGTTTCTAATGTATGAGTATAGCTCGAATACTTTAAGTTTGAAAGTATTTTTTCATGTTTAATTTCTCAGTTTTCTTTAGTTTCCCTTGTTTTAGAAGCTAAGTTAGTTAATCGTACTTAATATAGCCACCAGAAGACTGTTAAACTAATAATCATTCTCCTGGCCCATGGTTTAACCATGAGATTATCATAATCACTACAATGTAAATCCAAACTAATTTTTTTATTAGCTTTAAATCTATACTAAACTATCTGAATTCGTAAATTCTATAGTCCAAAAATAATTGCATAAATAAAATTTTCAATTTTTTTAAATGTATATGTATAAACCTAACTAGCTGGATTAACAGAGAGAGAAAACAAACAATGTATATTAGTCACGACCTTATTTTTAATTATCTTCTATATAAACACTCAAAACTACAAGCAAAAGACAGAAGTCACAAAACAGGTAATGTAATAAACTCATCAAATAGAGCTCTGTTTTTCTTTTCTGCCATTCTGTTTTTCTTTTCTTCCATCCATCGAATGGCTGACCAGATTCAGATCCACACGATGAATCAAGATCAAGAAGAACCAATGGCAGGGATCATGCCAAGTGTCATAACGGCAATGTCGTATCTCTTACAGAGAGTGTCAGAGACCAACGACCATCTGAGCCAGAAACAGAGACTCTCTGGCTTCCACGGATTAACCAAACCTTCCATCTCAATCAGAAGCTATCTCGAGAGGATCTTCAAGTACGCGAATTGTAGCTGTTCTTGTTACATAGTCGCGTATATATACTTGGATCGGTTCGTGAAGAAGCAGCCATTTTTGCCCATTAATTCCTTTAATGTTCATAGGCTTATAATCACAAGTGTCTTGGTCTCTGCTAAATTCATGGACGACTTGTAAGTAATTTACTCTGACTTCTGATGCTAATCTTTTGAAATAAACTAATTAATTATTTAAATGTATAAATAATTATAGGTGTTACACCAATGGATACTATGCAGAAGTTGGGGGAATAAGCAGAGAAGAGATGAACATGCTTGAGCTTGACTTCTTGTTCGGAATCGGGTTTCAGTTAAACGTCACCGTTTCTACTTTCAATAACTATTGCTCTTTTCTACAGAGAGAGATGGTTATGTTGATGAAGATGAAGTCTTTGTTTGTAGAACCTTCTCTCTCATTCAGAAGCTCTTTCAATACGAAAATGATGATGAATCCACTTGAGGATGACTCTTTATCCACTCATCACAAGAAGAAGCAACTCGCTGCAGGTTGACTATATATATGGATGGATCGATCAGGGTCCATAACCATATTATCACGTTGTGTGATGTAAACCATCTTTTATTTCCCGAGGGTTTTGATTTGTGATCTTAACTTAGAATTTTTTAATTGGATATGAGGCTTGGTTTCTTCAAACATGATGATGAATTGTATTTTTCTTCAGAAAAACAAATTATTAGTTTGGTTCCTTTCCTACTTGTTATAGCTTAAAAAAAACAAATTATCGTCTCTGTTTTTCTTTTATGTAAATGTTACGATGGTCTCTATTTTCTTCAGTGTGAAGTTAATTATAACAAACGATTCCACAAAAATAACCTAAAATCTATCATTTTCGTTCGTAAACTAAAAGCTTTACGACTGTAGTCTGAGTTTGTAGCGGACCGTATATTTTCTTGAATTCAGAGCCAGACCATAATTTTAACAAACGAATAAAACATATTGTTGAAACTTGAAACCGACATGATTTTCTAACCAGTCGAACTAAATGTAAATCTAAAATATTTGTTCTTTCTTTAGATTATCTAAACACGCGTTTAGAGACATATAAAAAACACTATAATTAAGAGATCACATATTTAAAGACACATGCAAATACATTATAAGATATGTCGAGCACAGAGTCCATATATAAAAGCATACAAGACAAAGGAAGTTACATTTAAAAGGGTACCAAACCTATTAACCTTAATAATACAAACACTTATACCCCTCCTAAAACCTTTTAAGTTGGGAGAGATTACCAGAAACATCATCACGGATGAGACTTACTACCGTGGCTCAAAGCGGTGACTTCACCATTGGAACCACCCCCACCACCACCTCCGGACCGGCCATTTCCGCTTCCATAGCCATACCCACCACCACGTGCTCCACCACCTCCAGAACCATATCCATATCCGCTACCTGACCCGGACCCCGATCCATACCCGTATCCGGATCCTCTTCCCCATCCTGTCGGCGACCTACCCGAACCCGCCCCATACCCCCAACCGGATCCTGGAGCAGAGCCCCAACCCCAGTTGTACTCCCAATTGGGCCCACGACCGGACCCACTGTCGCCTTGGTAGTTTTGGCCTGGTGGCACGTTACCCCTCGACCATGCAAATGGACGAGAAACAGAAGTCTTCGCTGTGATTAAAAAGAACAAAACCAACAAGAGCTCTCTTATCATTTTCTAGTTCTTTTCTTAAGGTTTGTCTATGTAGATTCTGAATCTCGTTTTGTTATGTAGTTTTGAGAGCTTCTCCCACCTCTTTATATAGGCAACAACATGAAAGCATTATTGAAATGCAACGGTCTGTGGTAAATTGGTAAGTGGGTTTCATAGTGTGAGATGGGCCAGCTCCACCCTTTTCTGAAATAGAAGGAAAAAAACTTCTTTTTCTTTTTTTTTTAACATTGCATTTGCATTTTATACACATGTTGTGAGCTTTAAACTCTGTTTTATATATATTTTTTTACTTAAAGACGTAGTTTGCAAGTTCTCTTCACTGTTAATAACTAAGCACCACCGCCCTAATAAATATAATATGAAAATCAATCATGGAGTGACTAGCTATGGACTGATCTTTCTTACCTTTGTTTGTTTCTTTTAAAAACCAATTATCATACGATCTAGTGCACAAGTAAACAATTACTGCGATTATTCATTACTGTTATAACATTATTGCTAAACGATCTTTACAAAAAAAAAATGCTAAACTATCTATTCATCTGGCAATGATATAAAATGTTCTGTTTTGTTGTTTAAAAACTCTATAGATAAGATTACTCTTTTTTATTTGTTAAACATAAGATTACTTCCTTAAGTTCCTTTGTAGCTCGATTACTATCATATTACCCAGTGTTAAAAAAACATAAGATTACTCATTATTAATCAAAGAGATTTTCTTTCTTTTCTCTACTATAGACAGTATTACAATACTAAAAAGGAAGGTGAAAAGAAAGAGTTGATTATATATTTGATATTACAGAGAGCTACTTGAGTTTCTTTAAAGTAGACAATATTATCTTCAAGAATCCGTTTAAGATGCGTCTCAACGTCAATCCCACTTAGAAATTTTCCTAATTATGATTTATGATCTTGAATGTTCAGCAGATCATCATTACTACTACAGGAGAAATACAACCAGAAAAACACGCATATACACATCAACACCATTGACAATTGTAGAAAAGCCACTAATTCATCTTTATTAATAGCACGACCTAATTTCAGAATTAGTTGAACAAATGATGAGCGACTGAGATATATCGTGTTCGTTATAAACGATCCATTCAAGCATTTGCTATATCAAATTCAAATGGTCTTTCCTACCAAAAAAAAATATTTGACTTTTCTAAGACATTTTAGTTTACTCAAACACTGAATCGAGAAACTAGTCAAGATGATGGATGATTTATTATTATTTTTTATTTTTTATTTTATTTTTTAGTTGCGATTTAATACATATGTACGAGATCATCATATGGCCCTGCCATTTATTTTATAAATAAAGCTTATATATCAGTTGTCGACAAAAACATATATAAACGGAAATTTTAATTCTCTATGTGTGTTGTTACTTGTTATATGCTTATTTTGCAATAAGTGTACTTGCCCCATAGATTGTGTCCATTCCACAAGTTTTACACAAATTTTGTTCTCCTGCAAATATTTAGATCTATAGTGCATACTCGAAGTTTTTGGCTTTAACAAATATCTAAGGTCTCATTTTGGCAATGATGGCAACTTTTAACATATTTCAACGGTGAAGCGGTCCACACGCACAACTTCCTACGGTGGAGCAACTACCATATGTTGTGTCTCTTTTAGGATATGATCGAATATTGATATTCATAAAATACTCCTTATACATAACATACATATACATCTAAAAACTACATCCCAGAATATATCTGAAAGCTCTCAACCCGCATTCATCGACGTTTTAAAAATTATAAAACAAGAATGAAAACTATAATTTTGTTTGTATAGATCATGTTTTGACTATAAACATATATTATAATGTTAATATAATCACCATCATCGTTTTCACTACTCGAATTCAAACCTATATAAGAAATATCACTTAGTGTGTCGAACAACGTTCCTCTAAATTGTTTCAAAATATCTAGAGAAATGGACTACGTATATGTGATGTGAATGGATGTATACTTGTATAGTGGAGTTAAACAGGTTGGCACACCCGGACCAATACAGAGCATAGTTCAACCCATGTTATTTTCTTACAAAATATGTCTCCTGAATATAGAAGCTATGTATGTTGTATATATAGGTGCCTAATTTTCCACATTGTATATATATTACATCATCTTGTCAATGCTATATACATAATCTATATCGAATATATATAAGACTATAACTATAAGTATGTGGTATCTGCGTCTCGGACGACGGATTTACATGAAGCTACATTCACAATTTTATAACAAATTAAGATTGGGAGAGAAATACTTCTTTTTCTTCTTCTTCAAACTCATCCAATACATAATGACATATCATTTATCAAAATAATCGTATAATCAGTTTTGTTTGGCAAAAAGAGATAATTAGGACAATACGTATGTCAAAGGAAAGTTTTAAAATTTTAATTATTATTTAATTTGTTCGAATTTATACATGAACAACATAAAAATATAAAGTTTTTGGTCCAGAGGTTGTACTAGTGTCTCAGTGTAACAAATTAGCAACATTCTGTGACTCTTAAGTTGTGCCACGTGCTGGACCCTCACTAGAGCCTACTATTTCTAACCCACTTACAAAGCATTATATATGTATGTATATGTTAAGAAGAAGAACTGTATATTCCAATTAACAAAGTACAATCACGATCAAAGTCAATATCTCTGACATTTAATCGATTTCTTTCTTGATTTGGAGAACAAGCTCTCTCAAATCAGCTCACGAAGAAGAAAATGTAACTAACTTTATCTCTCAAGTTTTCTGGATGCCAGAAAGTAAAATGCAACTGATAGTATTTAAACGAAATAAGCTGCGAAGCCTTAATTTCCTTCCACGTCATTCTCTGCTTCCAGCTCAGCTTCCTCTTCTTGCGTACGTTTCTTCCTCCTCACGTACCTATTGAGCGTCCTAACAATACCCCCCTCGCCAATAAGAAGCTTGTCCTCAAGTTCTGAGAATTATTGTATCAAGTCAGATGCTCGTACCCAAGTGTGTTCATGAGCCGGAAGGCCTTTCCACTGCACCAGACCCTCCAAACGACATGTGGCATCATAGCGAGTCTCCAGAATCTCCTCTGGCTCAATGACTAAAGCTGGGTTGGATGCGAACGAGTCAGGCAGTGGAGATACTTGATGGTTCGATCCTAGCACCGATTTGAGTTGAGAGACATGGAACACCGGGTGAATCTTTGAAGACTCAGGTAACCCGCAAACGATAAGCTACAACACCAATCTTCTCCAACACTTCAAAGGGGCCATAATATCGAGCTGCCAGCTTCTGATAAAGTCTCTTGGTAACAGATTGTTGTCTGTAAGGTCGTAGTTTCAAAAAGACTTTATCACCAACCACAAACTCCAACTCTCTTCTGTGTTTATCAGCATTGTCCTTCATACGTGCCTGTGCAATCACCAAATGAGCTTTAATCTCAGCCAAAACTGCATCTCTTTCTTTCAACGACGTCTCTAGTTCAAAATTAGCTGTTGAGCCTTCCTCAAAACGCAACAGAACTGGAGCTTCTCGACCATAAACCACTGCAAAAGGTGTGCGGCCAATTGCCGTATGGTAGCTCGTGTTATACCAAAGCTCAGCCCAATTTAGGTACTTTGCCCAAGTTTTTGGCTGCGACGACGCAAAACACCTCAAGTAGGTTTCAAGACAACGATTCAATACTTCCGTTTGTCCATCAGATTGGGGATGAAACGCAGTGCTGTATTTCAAGCGAGTTCCAACTTGCTTGAATAACTCCTTCCAAAACGAACTCAAGAAAATGCGATCCCGATCTGAAACAATCGATGCCGGAAACCCATGAAGTCTCACTACTTCCTGAGTGAACTTGTTTGCGACATCTGTGGCAGTGAATGGGTGTTTGAGCCGCAAGAAGTGAGAAAATTTACTCAATCTATCAACAACCACAAGTATAACGTTGACTCCTTGAGAAACAGGTAATCCTTCAATAAAATCCATCGAGAAATCTTCCCATATCTGAGAAGGTATTGGCAATGGCTGAAGCAACCCTGCTGGAGATAAGGTTGAGTATTTATGTCTCTGGCAAGTATCGCATTCCGCCACAAATTGCTGTATATCTTTCGTCATCTTCCTCCAGTAAAATACACTCTGAATCCTCTTCAACGTCTTCAGGACTCCAGAATGACCCCCAACTAACCCAGTATGATACTCGTGTAAGATAAGAGGAAGATGCTTCGATGAACGAGGAATGACTAACCTTCTTTTAAACCTCAACTTCCCATCGACCACTGTATACTCCTTATTTTCCTCTGTTCCATCCATCACTCTCTTCAATTGCTCTTGAATCTGTGCATCTGCGTCAATCTCTTTATAGATGTCTTGCAGTTGGAGATTTGTAGGAACGGTTAGAGAAAAAAGCTGATTAAACGTTGGAGCTGATTCCTCATGGACAATTCGAGATAAGCCATCAGCCGCTTTATTCTCAACACCAGGTTTGAAGACTATGTCAAAATCATAACCCAATAACTTGGTTAACCATTTCTGATATTCCATTGATACTTCACGCTGCTCAAGCAAGAATTTCAAACTCTTCTGATCTGTGTGCACCACAAATTTCCTCCCCAACAAATAATGTCTCCATTTCTGAATAGCCATCACTACTGCCATCAACTCTCGTTCATAGATCGGTTTCATCTGCTCTCTATCTGACAAACCCGAGCTGAAGTAAGCTATTGGTCTCTGGTTCTGCATCAGTAAAGCTCCCACACCGTAACCTGAGGCATCATCTTCCACAATGAAAACCTCATCAAAGTTTGGTAATGCGAGAACAGGAGCTGTCATCATTGCCTTCTTTAATTCCTCAAACGCCAATTCTGCTCTCTTGCACCACTCAAAACCATCTTTCTTCAATAACTCAGTCAACGGTCGTGCAATTGCCCCATACCCTTTCAAAAAATTCCTGTAGTACCCAGTCAGACCCAAAAACCCTCTCAACTCTTTAACTGATTTAGGCACTGGCCATTTCTGCATTGCCTCAGTTTTAGACGGGTCTGTTGCCACTCCTTCCTCTGAGATGATGTGTCCCAGATAATCCACCTGAACTTGTCCGAAGAGACACTTCTTACGATTCGCAAATAGCTGATGACTCTCGAAAATTGTCAAAACCGTTGACAAATGCTCGACGTGAGCCTCCAAGCTTGAACTCAAAATAAGTATGTCATCAAAGAACACCAAGACAAAGTCACCTAAAAACGGTCGAAACAACTCGTTCATCAAAGCCTGGAACGTAGCTGGTGCGTTTGTCAATCCAAAAGGCATGACTAAGAACTCGTAATGCCCGTTTGATGTTCTGAATGCAGTCTTCTCAACATCCTTCTCTTGCATTCGTATTTGATGATAGCCGGCTCTTAAATCCAATTTTGAAAATATCTTTGCTCCGTGTAACTCATCCAAGAGCTGGTCGATAACCGGAATGGGAAATTTATCTGCTACTGTCACTTTATTCAGTGCTCGATAATCGATGCAGAATCTCCAGCTCCCATCCTTCTTCTTTACTAGTAACACAGGACTAGAAAATGGACTTTTACTAGGTCTGATAGTCCCAGCTTCCAACATCTGTGAGACCAGTTTTTCCATTTCTTCCTTGTACGCGTGTGGGTAGCGATATGGTCTCACACTGACTGGTCCTGTTCCTGGCAAGAGATTTATCGTATGCTCGTTGCCTCTGACCAGAGGAAGTTCTGTAGGTTCAGCAAAAATATGTTGAAACTTAGTCAAAACATCCTCGACTACTTCTGGTACTTCCGTAATAACCTCCGTTTGGTTCCATTCACCCAAATCCATATCAAAGCTCGCGAGCTCCAAGCAGTTAAGGGCCTGGTTATCTCGAAATGATCGCCCACGTTTTTGAAGACCTGGATCACCATAAAGAGTTATCTTTGATCCCTTATACATAAAAGACATTTCATGCGTTTCCCAATCTGTCTCACACTTCCCTAGTGTTCTCAACCAAACGACACCCAATATCACATCTGCATTTCCCAATTCTAACACCACGAAGTCCATTTGAAACTCATGTGTTTGCAATGTCACTGCCACATCTCTGCATACTCCTGAACCATTGACCGTGATTCCCGTTCCCAACAACACCTCTAATCCTCTGTTTCTGGTTGGAGATAGTTGTGTCTTGTTTAACACCGAAGGATCCATGAAATTGTGAGTCGCTCCGCTGTCAATCATGACCACCACTTTTGTGTTGTTAATCTCACCCCAAAGCTTCGTAACAACTGGAGAATCCAACCCCAAATACGAGTAAAGTGATAGCTCCATCAATACCGGATCCACATTATCGATTTCCTCTAGTCCCACACTCCAATCTTCCTCCAAGATTTCAACCTCTTCGTCATTGATGACTGTGAAAACTTGCAGGAGCATATTCTGGCATTCATGCGTCTTTGACCATTTCTCCGGGCACTTGTAACACAATCCCAGATGCCGTTTTTCTGCAATCTCAGCCGGTGTCAGCTTTATCATTCCACTGTAGTTCTTGCCAACACCATTTCTCCAAGGTGGTTTTCCATTCGAGGGGTTGCTTGTTTTCTCCACACTGTCACTGCTTGTATTTCTACCAGGTCGTTGTGCGTTGTAAAACGTTGAACCCCGTAAAGGCAGTGATGATGAAGCTCTTCGAAATGGATTAACAGCTTCAGCCATCGACTTACAGAACGCACTACCCTCCATTGCGATGACTGCATTGAAACAATTGGTCAATCCCCTTGGATTCTGCATCTTAATAACTTCCTTCATCTCAGGTTTCAAACCAATATAGAACATATGCTCCAAGTTCTCTTCATCAATGCCGGTAACAATTGTAGTCAGCTCTTCGAATTCGTTCACATAATCTTCAATGGAACCTCTCTGCTTCAAACTGAACAGCCTCTTCCCGGGATTCTCTTCAATTTTCTGACTGAATCTTGCAATCATTCGCTTCTTAAACTGTGCCCAATCTCGAAAAGGATTTCGCAACATCTCGTGGTTAAACCAATTCAACGCTGGACCTTTCAATGTGATCGATAATAGATCCAGTCTCTCTTCATCCGAATATCTTCCCAACCTGAAAAATCTCTCAGCCAACGAAATCCAGCTATATGGACTAGATCCATCCAAAGCAGGTAGTTCAATTTTCTTCAACACAACATTTCGATTTTCTAGCAAGCTATTGATTCCCCGATAACCTAACGGTCGATTATCTCCAGGTTCCGGTTGGTTAGGATTTCGTACCTCACGCACAGGTGGAGATTGTGACGTGAAATTCGCTGGATTCTGCTGACTCGTGGACGGATTCCATTGATTCGCCGTCGGATTGTTGATCGTCGCTTCCATACGCGCCAATGTTTCCGTCAGTCTCGATAGGTTTGCGTTGATCTCCGAGAAGTTCTGATTCGTATGATCGTTCGTTTTCTCCTGTCGTTCCCATCGTTCCGCCATAGATTCCATAGATCTGTGAAGTTCCTCCGCTAGATCGTCGATTTTCCCCATTTCTTCGTCGTCGCGTCTCCGGAAAAGTCACCGCACCAATTTGTTAAGAAGAAGAACTGTATATTCCAATTAACAAAGTACAATCACGATCAAAGCCAGTATCTCTCTCACATTTAATCGATTTCTCTCTTGATTTGGAGAACAAGCTCTCTCAAATCAGCTCACGAAGAAGAAAGTGTAACTAACTTTATCTCTCAAGTTTTCTGGATGCCAGAAAGTAAAATGCAACAAATAGTATTTAAACGAAATGAGCTGCGAAGCCTTAATTTCCTTCCACGTCATTCTCTGCTTCCAGCTCAGCTTCCTCTTCTTGCGTACGTTTCTTCCTCCTCACGTACCTATTGAGCGTCCTAACAATACCCCCCTCGCCAATAAGAAGCTTGTCCTCAAGTTCTGGGAATTGTTGTATCAAGTCAGATGCTCGCACCCAAGTGTGTTCATGAGCCGGAAGGCCTTTCCACTGCACCAGACCCTCCAAACGACCTATGGCATCATAGCGAGTCTCCAGAATCTCCTCTGGCTCAATGACTAAAGCTGGGTTGGATGCGAACGAGTCAGGCAGTGGAGATACTTGATGGTTCGATCCTAGCACCGGTTTGAGTTGAGAGACATGGAACACCGGGTGAATCTTTGAAGACTCAGGTAACCGCAAACGATAAGCTACAGCACCAATCTTCTCCAACACTTCAAAGAGGCCATAATATCGAGCTGCCAGCTTCTGATAAAGTCTCTTGGTAACCGATTGTTGTCTGTAAGGTCGTAGTTTCAAAAAGACTTTATCACCAACCACAAACTCCAACTCTCTTCTGTGTTTATCAGCATTGTCCTTCATACGTGCCTGTGCAATCACCAAATGAGCTTTAATCTCAGCCAAAACTGCATCTCTTTCTTTCAACGACGTCTCTAGTTCAAAATTAGCTGTTGAGCCTTCCTTAAAACGCAACAGAACTGGAGCTTCTCGACCATAAACCACTTCAAAAGGTGTGCGGCCAATTGCCGTATGGTAGCTCGTGTTATACCAAAGCTCAGCCCAATTTAGGTACTTTGCCCAAGTTTTTGGCTGCGACGACGCAAAACACCTCAAGTAGGTTTCGAGACAACGATTCAATACTTCCGTTTGTCCATCAGATTGGGGATGAAACGCAGTGCTGTATTTCAAGCGAGTTCCAGCTTACTTGAATAACTCCTTCCAAAACGAACTCAAGAAAATGCGATCCCGATCTGAAACGATGCCGGAAACCCATGAAGTCTCACTACTTCCTGAGTGAACATGTTTGCGACATCTGTGGCAGTGAATGGGTGTTTGAGCCGCAAGAAGTGGGCAAATTTACTCAATCTATCAACAACCACAAGTATAACCTTGACTCCTAGAGAAGTTAACGTTAATCGTCTTATCTTGAAAAGTTAACGAGTTTGGTATTTTAACATAGTAACATGAAGCAGAAGAGCCTAAAAAAAAGAAGCCCAAATCACAAGCACGAGCTGAATGAGGTAATGCGTCGTCAACGTGAGGAATGTATAAAGAGAGAAAGAGAGTAATTAAAACTCGTTGCCGCATGCATGAACTCATAAAGTTCGGATGAAAAATCTGACCACTCGCCAAAGAACTCCGTGATGCTGATTAGGTCTGCACAAACAAAAGCGCAGAGCATGTCGACATATGTTGGAAGACTCACTCCATCATCCATATCAGGTTTCATTTTGGAATAGAGGGAGTGATAACTGATAAGCCTTGTTTCATTATTCCGAAGCCTAAAAATATTTGATTTTCTATGCATCTAGGGGCCGATTTAGAACTTTGTTTAGTGTGAGACACATAGTGTAAAAATTAGTTAGATTAAGGGCACTTAAATAAATAATATACTCATTACTTAAGGAAAAATCAAAATTAGTGTGTGGCACATAGACTCTGTTTTCCGTTTAATTAGTGTTTCATTAGACTCTTTTCTCTTGTGCGACATTGGATCGAAATATTAAAGTAGGCCTTCTTACACAGAAACAAATGTCTACAAAACCTACCCATCATTTATTATAACTCGACCAAGCCCACTTGTAATTTTACTCCTCACCTAAGAGGCTATTCAAAAAGCCTCATGAACCTATCGAATCTATCTACTTCCAAACGATCTTTTAGATTGAAGTCAAAACTGACTAAGAGTAGTATCTTCATGTCGAGACATGTTGCTGACAAAAAATAGTAATCAAAACTCACTATATTTCTTTGGTAGAACAGTTTGTAAACTATAAATGCAAATATGAAAAGCAAATATTTTTCTTTTCCGTTACGTTTACAGTTTTGCAAATGACACGGATTTTACAAATTTAGTAGTGTATTAGGTGAAATGAATAAAATATTTTAATATAAATACAGCTAGAAAAAAATAAATCAGTCCAGTAGTTACATTAAAAACAAACAAACTGACAACAAAATGCAAGTAGCAAAACAATATTCATGAATTATCCATTACAACAAGTCAGAAGAAAAATATTTCTGGCACCACAAGTTTTCTGATTTTTTTTTTTTTTTTAAATAATAATATTTAAAATAAGACAAGCGCAGAAATAAATAAATATAACAACCAGTACGAACTCGCCACGTACAAACTTTTGTCAAAGAGTTCACAGTAGACTAGAGTGGTCTCTCTCTCTCTCTCTCTCGGTCTCGATTTCTGATTTCTCACTGTACGACCAGATTAACCTTAATAGTACTACACACATAAAAGATTTATTGATCCTCGCTGCTGCTGAAGATTTCGAAAGGATGTCATGTTTGGGTAGGATCTTGTCGGTTTCCTACCCGCCGGATCCGTACGACTCGCGTCTTTCAGGGTATAAACTGTCTTTACTAGGGCGAAATCGGAGATTGAGACTGCGATTCACGGCGTTGGACCCTGAATCTTCCTCCGCAGCTTCCTCTCTCGACTCAGACTCTGCCGATAAATTCGCTGCCGGGTAATCGTTTCATCTCCGCCACATCTTCTTAGTATGGACGTTTTTGCTATAACTACAGATTTTCGGATTTGATCGTTTTGTAATTTTCGAAAATATCGCCGTTATTGTTTCCTGTTTCCAAGAAATTGCGAGTTAATCATCTTGAGTTTGCAAGTTTCTACATTTGATTATAAGTATTTGACTTTTCATCTTTGAAAAATCATGGTTTTGCTGTGTTGGACTCCAAATGAGAATCACTGGACTCTGGTGCAGGTTTTGTATCATAGAAGGGCCTGAAACAGTACAGGATTTTGCCAAAATGCAATTACAAGAGATTCAAGATAACATTCGAAGCCGACGAAACAAGATCTTCTTGCACATGGAAGAGGTTTAGTTTCTAAAAGTGGAAACCTTTTTGATTAGTTTTCTTGAAAGTGGCTTCTCCTTGTTAAACTGTTTTCATGGATTATATAGGTACGGAGGCTGAGAATACAACAACGGATTAAGAACACAGAACTTGGCATCATCAACGAAGAGCAAGAACACGATTTACCTAATTTCCCTTCCTTTATCCCGTTCTTACCTCCATTGGTGAGAAAAAAAAAAAAGTTCTTGCTAGAGGTTTCTTTTTGGTTAGATTGATCATTGATCATAAACATATGTGATTTCGCAGACTGCTGCCAATTTGAAAGTCTATTACGCAACTTGTTTCTCACTCATCGCGGGGATTATCCTATTCGGTGGCCTACTAGCTCCTACAGTAACTTCTTTGCTACACTTTTGTTTTTCAAGATTGGTACATAGCTTACACTGTTCTCTTTTGTAACTTGTTTTCATTTGTAAACCTCGGCAGTTAGAGCTGAAGCTAGGTATAGGAGGCACATCATATGCAGATTTCATTCAAAGCCTTCATCTACCTATGCAATTGAGGTTTGTTTGTTTCTTTAACTTGTCTCTTTCAACTGTGATTTTTCACTTCTCTGATGCTTGATCTTTGTGTTGACACCTGAATGACAGTCAAGTGGACCCGATAGTAGCGTCCTTCTCTGGAGGAGCTGTTGGTGTGATCTCGGCGTTGATGGTAGTTGAAGTCAACAACGTAAAGCAGCAAGAACACAAGAGATGCAAATACTGTCTAGGAACTGGTATTTGTGATTCCTCTGCTTTCTCTTGCTTTCAACAAGAATGAAAGATTTTGAAATCTTGCTTCAACGTCTCTCTTGCACAACACAGGGTATCTAGCTTGTGCTCGTTGCTCTAGCACAGGTGCTCTTGTTTTAACCGAACCGGTCTCAGCTGTTTCTCTATCAGCACCCAAAACTGAAAGATGTTCAAACTGTTCAGGTGCCGGAAAGGTAAAAAAAACACAAGATCTGAAACCTTTTAATCCCCAAAGCCTAAGATTTCTGAGATGGTACTGTTTGATGTTCAGGTGATGTGCCCGACATGTCTGTGCACAGGAATGGCTATGGCAAGCGAGCACGATCCTCGGATCGATCCCTTTGATTGAACTGCAACACCTTCTTCCACTTTCCCCAAAGTCTATTTCTGTCACTGTAACTAAAAAAAATTGGTATGTACTGATGAATAATCATTAGAACTGCCACCCTTTGATCTGTATATATATACACACACAAGTGAAGTTATTGTACAATGTTAGATTTGTCTTCTCAAAACATCATAAACACTGGCACACTGCATGAGATCATAAACCAACAACTCGAAAACTGAACATGTAGTGTTAACAGTTTTCTCCCCTTCATGTTACATTTTGTTTGTTTGTTTGTTTCTGAGCTACAAATATTTCCTCTTCCGGCCGATTAGAAAAAAGAAGGATGGAGAACAGGTGTGTGTGTGTGTATGTGAGAGTATCTTCTGTCACTATGGGAAAATTTGGTATCTAAATAGCAACATCAAAGCATAACGAAACAGAGCTTTTGTTGATATATAAAAAGTTTCTTTTATAATTAGACAAGCCTCAACGTACAATATCAGAAAAAAAAAGAGAGGGTGCAACTGTGTATATATATACATACATAAACGCTAACGGAGTGGTTGATTTAAATTTGGTAAGTTAGTTTACAAAGAAGGAGGAGGGAGGAGCCAGGTGGATCCCTGGATGTAGCCAAGGGAGATGAAATAGTTAGCTTCGATGCTGTCAATGTCTTGTGTGTACTTAAATCTCTTCTCCTTTTTCGATCCTGCTCCTGAGCACTTGTACTCTCCATAGAACACCGTCCTGCTCATCAGTCCATGCAGTTTACATAAATATCTATGTCTAGTAACAAATATATAAAAGGCTTGGAGGATAGGATTGCATACTTGTCACGCTCGGATTGGGGATTTTCTTGCCATCCGGAAGGATTCACAACACTTGACATGTCGGTGTATGCGTAAACGACCTTGGGGTGACTCATCCATGCTCGGCCCAAGTAGATCCCTGTTCCAGTCCCTGTTACCTTGCAGTGCACGAATGAGTATTCACTTTTCTCTCCCGCGCTTTTTCCGGCGTGAGCTGTGATCACTCTGAGTCCATCTCCCACTACGTTTAGTTGTGTACGCTTTTCATCATTAATTAACATTACGAGTACCCGTTAGAACTAATTAACTGAGGTATATTATATATAGGAAGAAAGATTAGGTTAGCTAGGTCTAGATACGTACGAGGTATAAAGAGCGTCCGCTTCCAAAGATAAAATCATACGTCCCTTCGATGTAACAGTCTTTGAAGAAATGGTTTCCGGCGTCATCGCAAATCGTGTCTTGATAGCCGTAGAATTTAGAGTTGTAGAAAGCTGCTTTGTTGCCAGAGATTCTCATAGACAAAGCTTGTGCTCCTTTCATCTTCCCATCCGGCATTGGAGCAGAATTCTTATAAAAAAAGAAAAAAAAATCATAATTTAACTTCCTGCTGATCATATAGATTGTTTTTTTAACCTAACAAACTTAACTATACCTTAACGATGATGTTAACGGCCATGAAATAGTCGGACAAGACAATGAGAGTTGCGCTATCGACTGTCCCGTATTGGGCTGCGGTACCGTCGAATGTCATAACCGGCATTGCATTCCGATGACCGTACAACGTGATGAAGGGTTTGTTCCTATCGATCGTGACCTTCTCTTTGTATACACCAGGGCCTAAGTTGATGATCACACGCTTCGTGTTCTCTGCGGGTACACTTGCTATCGCCTCGGTTAATGTCTTGAAATGGCCTCTTCCATCTTGTCTTACCTGCACTCGTAGAAACCAAAATCATCTTCATGAATAAAACCCCATATCCAAATTTTAGATCATGCATATTTTATAAAATAAAAACACTAGCAACTGATTTGAAATATTGCTTATGCCTTGATGACACGTGGGGAAGCCTCTGCGGTCAGTAGATCTGGATCTAATGTGTCCTTTTTACTAGCCAACGAAGGGACGTTTGTGTTAAACCACTGCTCGATTCTGCGGCTGTTCTGAGGAATTGGTGCTGCATCGTTACCGAAAACCACAGGCGATGTAATCACAACGAGCAAGATTATTACTAATACATTAGTGTACCCCATTTTTACTTATGTTTTGTTTTCTACCTTTTTCTAAAATAAAGTTAAATATTGTTTGATTTTTTTTCTTCTTTTCTTGGGGTGGTATATATATATGTATACCAGCGCCGAAAGCGAAGAACACTCACCATTCAGTTTTTTGTTACTATATTGTTTTCGGTTTGCTGCTCTTTATTCATTTCATCCCTTCGTAAATTCTACATATATGCCTTTTTTAAGTTCTTCGTCTTAACTAATCTTGTTTCATAAGGTGTAAAGCCGTTATTATTTTTATTTTTTTATTTGCTAAAAGGCTAAGGTGGAAAGTTAAATATTAAACACGTTGTAAACAGATTAATTTCAGTTTCTGCACTAATTGCTATTGAAACAGATTTTACAGAATATATTGCTGGAAATGATGTGGTATACCGTATACCGTATACATATTCTCAATTTCAGAGTTCATTTTATTGGAACTGACAGCGTTAATCGGACTGCATACTTTTTATTCAAGGTTAATTTCTTTTTCATTAATTGTGTGAATATACATTGACAATTTTACAAATCGTATAGAACATTTTTACGTAAACCTCTCCCAGAACCGATACAAATAAATTTATGATATAGAAAAATATTTTGTTTTTCGTACGACTAATTAATTTGCATCTGCTTCAAACTCAGATGGCAGAAAGTTATAGAAGTCATGATCACAAATCTGCCAAACGAATAATAATGAGACATCTTAAGTAGATTAGATTGAAAACAATCTAAATCTATGCAAAGAAATGTGTACTACATTAGTAATATATACAGGTTGCATGACTATTAACAGGTTGGTTGGTAATAAGTTGACGTGTGTCTGAAGAAAAAGAATTTTGACGTAAAAAGAGAAAACCTAACTGGAAAAAAGGGTTTTAAGACAAGGAAATAAAAGCTTGAGCATTTCTAGCGACTTTGATGAAGACATCTTCGAGAGTGGTGTCGGCGAGTCCCCATGCAAAGACAGTGAAGTTGGATTTGGCCTTTTCTACAGCCCGAAACACCTCAGCAATGCTAACGTCCTGCTTTGGAAGCTCGAATTTCTGTGTACCAGCGAGATGATATATCTTCTTAGCGTTGGGAGAGACAGTTGAAACCAATCTCTCTACCTCTTCCTCATGTTTTGAAGATGTTGTCATCGTGAAAACATATGATCCACCGTACCTGCTCTTCAGCTCCTTGGAGTTTCCTATGCATTGCAAGCCTCCGTCTACAAATATCCCCAATCTATCGCATAGAAATTCTGCTTCTTCCATTGAGTGAGCTGAAAACGTATTTTTAGCGTTAAGATTTGATCGAATTAATTAGGAGTCACATTCCATAATCTCATAAAGCAATATTGTTTATGTATATATACTTGTGAGGATTATTGCTGTGTTTTTTTTTGCACGCTTAATCACATCCCATAAGTTCTTCCTCGAGGCTGGATCAAGTCCTGTGCTTGGCTCATCCAAATACACCACCTAATGAATGTAGAGAATGATCTAGTCAGACGACCTAGGGTTTGTTCCTGAGCCATTTCCTTGACAAGACCACACAATCAACAAGAATGTACATACCTTGGGGTTCCCGATAAGTGAAATAGCCACGCTAAGTCGCCTTTTCATACCACCACTGTAATTTCCAGCAGGTTTGTCGGCAACTCCTCCATCGAAAAGGCTGACGCCTTTTAAAGATTCTTCCACAGCCTTGATATGATCATATATCCATGAATTAATTAGCAAAAAAAAAATGTCTTGTGGAATCTTACACATACAAAAAAGAAAGCAAGGGGATAATTAAATACATGTGTTAGAGCAGAGCCCTTGATATTCTTAAGTCTCCCGTAAAAGAGAAGATGTTCCCTTCCTGTTAGCGTCTCCCAAAGCAAGCTGATAAACCAAAAGATTGTCCCTTTTTTTTTTTCTTTCTGCTTTGGTAATTAAAGAAAATATAATTCATGGTAAAGTATTGTTAAGATTGCACTTACTCGTGCTGCGGGCATACGCCCATGCTCGTGTATACTTTGTTCATCTCGTTACATATGTCCAAACCCTGAACCAAGGCTGTTCCAGATGAAGGTTTGAGGAGCCCCGTCATCTAGCGCAACAAAAAGGGACGAGGTTACAAACTTAAACGTTTATTTGCGAAACTGAGCATACCAATGAATTAAGGATGTTTTTGTGCGAAACTAACCATACTGATGAAGGAGGTTTTGCCGGCGCCGTTAGGTCCAAGCATGCCGAAACATTCTCCTGAAGGAACGTCGAGATACATGCCTCTTACTGCTAGTTTTGGTGGGTTACCATCTCTACCTGGATACACCTTCTTCAGGTTGTCACACACGATCGCATGTCCTGTGACCCCTTCTTTCCTCAATTGCTCAACTTTCTCCCTCTGATTATTTTCTCTTTCTGTTTTAATAATCAAAATAAAGGCAAAAAAAAAAAAAGAGATGGCTTCTTCCATACCTCGTAAGTGACATCTAGTTTATCCATATCCATATCTATGGAGACTTTTCTAGAATCCAGCCTCTGCATAGTACTAGGCCTCCTTGGTAGGGATGAAGAAGATTTATTGAAAAAAATGTCCAAGAAAAAGAAAGGTTGCTTCCCGGACGAGACAACCTGATCGAAGTATAAGGCTAGGATGATAGCCAAAAACCACTCTATTGACATGATGGTTAAGACTTCACCCATTCCACTATCGCCAAGATCTTGCCATTGCATCCCGTTTCCACGTGACGCATATTGCGAGAACTCATACAACACGCGGTATAGAGAAAAGCCAGGATACAACTCCAAGGCAACAATCCATTCTTCTGTAAAACGTAATTAAATTGTACATGCATGAGCATTTTTCCTTCTTTTATGAAAAAAAAAAAAAAGAAAAGAAGAAGGAAAGTAACGTTGTTGTTGATCAAGAGTTACCCGGGAATGACTGAGTTTCAAGCATCTTTTGAAAGAGAAAGCTGCCCAAGAGCCCAGTTCCGTAGACCAATATGTAAGCAACGACTACAGTTAAATCCATAAGATAGAGAGAGACCATTCAAAATTTTGAACACTTGCATGTTCTTGAGCAGATTGATCAAGATAAGTGCATGATAACTAAATGTACCTGTCACAGTCTTAACCTTTGAGAATAACGAAGAGACTAAAAAGGCGACGGCGATTTGCAGATTCGAGTAGATAAAATAGAAAACGAACTGGATGCTGTAGGAGTTGAGCCGGAAGTACTTGAGTCCAATGGCTGACCCGAAGATGACCAGTGAAACAACGTAGCACATGGATATGGTAAGAAAATAGGCATATGAAATCATCCAATAGGGACCATCGCCTAGACCATGCATTTTCATTATTATTCTTAGACGCTCTTGTTTCTCATACACCAATGATGTCAAGATCACCTGCTTGTAGCTAGTTAATTACATACGATCTCGATTGGATAACAAACAACATATCCAATAATGTTAATGATTACAAGAAAACTTACGGGGAACAAAAGGAGAACAACCCAAGTGAAGAAAAGTGGGCCGAGCAAGGACGCAATGTCTTGAGTGTATTTAGTTGCATGTTTAGGAACATCTTTGACAAACTCGAATAATATCCTTGTCGCGGGGCCTTTCAGAAACGTTAGATAAGCATTTGATATCTGCATAAATATATATATATATAGACAAGGTCAAGTAACTAATGATGTAAAATATATATATATATATATATATATATATATATATATATATTGCAAAATTCGATCAAGGATAAAGGGATGCGTTGAGTACCAGATTGATAGAGCGGGGAACTCGGACCAGCTTTAGAGGGCGAGTTGAAAACTCATCCTTGTAGGTTGAGTTATACCATATTGTCACATTGAAGTTTTTCTTATCCGTACTCTTGAGATCATATGCTAAGAAAATGGTGGAGGACATAATTGAAACAGTGAGGTTGATCCTTATAAGCATATATATATAATTAATACGATGTTAATTCAAACCTGCGGCGATCTCATTTGTCAACCCCGCAGGGTTTCCCTTCCAACTACCCTTGAAGAGCTCATCATTGACCTCCGCAGAGTTATTTCTCCAGAGACACAACCCTTGAACACACTTCACCTCTGGGATATTAATTTTTTGCATTTATCATTTCTCAGACTTGTATGTACTTTTGGCATGAACCAGAGGAAAAATCAATTAAAATACCGGTCTGAATTTTCGCGAAAGAGAGCGGCCATGTAGACTTTGCACTGCAAAGTGGTTGGATACTGTAGATGGGGAGATCTGAGGCAATCCTTGGATCTGCATAATTGTTTTCTCCTGCTGCTTCTGTCGAGCCCTGAAACTCATCATCATCATCTTTGAGTAAACACACTCAGAAATTCATATCTATATAGCTTAATTTATAAAAGGAAAGAAGGACGACATATACCAAGACATTATTGGCTAAAGAAGGCAAGACGTCTGAGGTATTAACGGCAAAAGAAGTAGCAAATATATTCTCGGATAAATCTGAAAGAGAGAGGGATACAAACACAAACACATGCATGCAGCTGGTAATTAAGTTTTGATTCGGAAAAAAAAAAGAAAAAGAGTTAGGTTACGTATCAAGGAAGGAAGCGATGGAAATATACCTTTACCAAGGGGCTGTTTATCCCCAGTGATAAGTATGGTTACAGGACAAGATCCTTCTGTTACTCTGCAGGACTTGTCAGGGAGGTCTCTGTAGGGAAGGAAATCGGCCTTAACAGAACGGAGTTCATGTTGTGGAAGCTGCAGCATCGGAGGCAACAATGGAGGGTTTGAGATGGGGCAGATATCACCAGGCATATCAGGGTTAGTCTTACAATCATTAGCCATTTGAGATACACTATTCATCAGGGCATCGAGCACTTGTTGAATCGCCAGGAGAAGCAAGCAAAGGAAGACTGGAACCAGGATGAGCCGAACATTCGTCCATATGTGTTTCCTCTGCATTGCACCGCAAATTATATCTGATCATTCATTCTATTTAATTCATTAACCGGAGGAAACACAAGGCATGCATACGCATACGTACCTGATAGGTTAAGTTCTTTCTAAGTAACGCATTGGCCTGCGTCCCGAAACTAGCCGGACTAGGATCCGCCATTGATGAAGAAAGAAAGAAAGCTTCGCTAGCCTCTCACTTGTTCGTCTTTTTTTTTTTTTTTTTTCTTTTTGGCTAGCCCAAGTAATTGCTACTTGTTTTAAACATGAGCTTTTCTCTTTTCTTTATAGATGAAATGATGATGTCCTATTTCCCATCAATTAGGTGCCAAAAATAAAATGAGGTCCCAATTAATTTCCAAAAATAAATGAGGGTCCCAGTTTCACAGATTTTTCTCAACGTGGGAAAGATATTAAGTCAAACCCTTAAAACTGGAAACAAAAGACCGCACGTCCCTTTAACCTATTTAAAAATAAAATAAAATAAATAATTTTCTTTATTACTAGTACAGTAGTACTTGCTTATTTTTGCTTCGGTAGCATAAGCAAAAAATGATTTTGCAAGGAGGCTTGGCGCTTCTCAATCTCAACCAGCGTGGCGACTCATATCGATCCAAGAAAAGAACACCTAAATCGTTCGGTGGTTTTGGAAGTACAGAATCTTTGAAAAGTAAGGATCATGTATCAGTATCAATGGACATCTCAAGAAAGTACATGCAACATGGACGATAATATATAAAATACGATCCATTTCGGTCAATAATTATGAAAAGGGCAGGAAAGTATGGACTATGGGTCGTTTAGGTATATGCATATGCTTAATAGAAGTCGTGTTATATCTTTAAGTTTGTGATATATTATGCTCTTTTTTTTAACTAAAAAGCTCATTTAATTTTGAGAGTCCAAGGGGTTCTTCTTGGTCATGTTTGATATTTTTTTTGTTCATCACTATTGTCTCGCTTGTTGTGCAAGAAATGTTGTTTGAAAAGTTCGAAAAACTTTACTTTTGTATACGGATTGACTAACAAAGAGGGACGCATATTAATTAATAAGATATAATGTCATTATATATCGTCCCAATAATAATAAGATAAAGCCTTTACAACAACACACATTATTTATTCTTTTACTCGCTCATATCATAGCATAGCAGATGATTGATTGTAGTGTAGAGACAGCCGTACGTTTTTATGGGAAGATACAAATGCCTTTTATCATCATGTGAACGAAAGGCTGTCTTGGGAACACAACGGGCCAGCAATCTTCTGCAATTCCTTCCACTGCGTCGCAGCAAGCATGCTTTAGATGGCTAAAGTCCCAGCGCAGTATGGCGCTAACGGCATCAGCGCATCCGTCCACCTTTTTGATTGAAGCGAAACAATCAGCTGGATTAAGAAATGCGACCTTTCTCCCTGCAATATTAGTGGAAACGCTAAGCAAAACCATTGATATCATTACAATCGATGTAAGTATTTTGTTTGAACCCATTTTTGTTTACTTATGAATTTAATGAGCTAAAAGAAACTAAACTTATTGTGTTTGCATAGAATCAAAAATGTTGATCTATATATAGGGAAAAACTTTGTGGATCCAAGACATTTTGGTTGGTAAAATACCAAATTTACTATCCATCCATCCTTAGATGTTTGAATACAAACTACACATGTGATATCACTTTTGTTTACCAAACTCAACCAAGTCAACCGAGTAATTCTTTTTTTTTTTTTGTATTTGTAACAAAAAACCATAATTTCAGAATATTTTTAATTTCTGTTCCTCCAACAAAATGGAAGGAAAACAAACACAAAAATATTTAATATCTTTTACCTCTCAAATTTCAAGATTTTAAACTTGTCTTAACTTAACTTAAATTTGAAAAAGTTGAAATTAGGAAGTACTTTTGTATTTATATAAAACTGGATTATAGGTAGTTACATAAACAGCCGGTAATAGTTTACTTTGTTATATACACTTTAATTTGTACATATTAGTTTGTAGCTGAAAGTTGGTTCTTTCTAGAGCTCGCCGTTAGGTCCTTTTAAAGGAAGAGTTGAATAATAATGAGTATAATCAATCCCAAAAGATGATAGGTCAATAGATTTTCCTTTCTTCTCAGAGGCCACCTTCACGAAGAGACCCATAGCTCGAGCCCATTTCACCATAGTTCCGATCACTTCTTTCCTTTGATCAAAAGTTAAATCTTTCGAACCATTCTGCTTCACCTCAGCCAAAAGCTTTCCCATTGACAACATACCATCGATCATTCTCCACGATTCCACCTATATATCGTTAAAATAACATAAATAAATAAATAAAAATTATATGTCAAAAAATGCTTTCATTGAGTGAATATGATATATATTAAAACTTACTGTTCCGGCTTTACCACCATCCAATAAAGACATAGCCCTGAAGAGCTTCTCAGATTTATCTGACATCTCGACCTTGATGTCTTTTGATCCGGACTTGAAGGTCGTCATGTAGTCCTCTACCTTTGCAAAGAAATCCTTGAACTCTGCTGTGCCAGGACACTTAGCCTCCAGGATACTCATAAAATCCAACATACCATTGCAAGCGAAAGACTCAAAATCTTTGCTTGTTTGGGGCAAATCTTTCAAGTATTGGGGTAATGAGAAGGTTCCATGTGTTTCATAGAGAGATCTTTTAGAAGGAGAAGGTACGTAATCGATTCCAAAAGATGATAGATCAATAGGGTGTCCTTCACTCTCAGAGGCCATCTTCACGAATACACCGATCCCTCGAGTCCATTTCACCAAAGACTGAATCAGTTCTTTTCTTTGTTCAAAAGTTATATCCTTGGAACCGCTCTTATTCATCTCAATCAAACCCTTTCCAAGTGACAACAAGCCATCCACCAGCCTCCATGAATCCTCCTATTCTCCAAAAAACACAAAATCGTTTCCACTTAAACTGCATGCATGCGACAATCATATATATGTTATTGCAGTGTTAACGTATGATTTAAACTTACTGATGTTCCGCCTTTTGTTCCACTGAATGCAGACATAGCCCTGAAGAGGCTTTCAGATTTTATTGACAGCTGGGCTTGGATATCTTTTGACTGGGGTGATGTCGAATCGAAGCTGGCCATGTAATCCTTCAGCTTTACAAAAAAATCATTGAACTTTGTGGTCTTAGGACATTTGCCCTCCAGATCAGCCATGAACTCCGACATCCCTTTCTCAGCAAAAGGCTCAAAATCTTTGCCTAATTTGGGGAAATTCTTTAAGTAATGGGGTAGTGAGAATGTCGCTTGCGTTTCATACACAATGCTTAATGCAACAAGTAACATTAGACATATCATTAATGTTTTTCTTGCCATTTTATTCTTAAATATATAGAAGAAAAAAGATTATTCGTTTTTTTTTGTTTTTTGTTTTTGTTTTTTTTTTTGTTGTTGAATGATTGTGGTTACTATGAGAACTCAATTTATATAGATGTTTTAGAAATCTAATTTTAACTAATTAAGTAAATGAAGTGGTCAATAAATTAGTGGTCGTCCACGAATGTTAAAAGAGAAATCGGCAAAACTTTCTATGGCTATTCGCTCTACTCTTACTTTTATTTTTAGAAAGATCATTTTTGTCGTCATACTATATTTGGATCGTAGACTACGTGTATGGACCCTACCACAAAGAGACATTCGTGTGGACATTAGTAATACAAATTTTTTTAAAAAGGTCTCAGTGTTTCCGTTTTCCCGGGATTTCAAGATATAGTTTATCTATGCATTTCTTTCTATTCGACGAGCTTCACGGACTCACGGACACGGTTAAAGATCGTTTCGAATGCACATAATAGAATGTGGTTTCGGAAGTACATAATCTTTGAAAAGTAAGGATCATATATAAAATATTACATATGTATCAATGGACACTCTCAAGAGAGTACATGCAACATGGACGATAATATAAAAAATACGATCCATTTCGGTCAAATGAAAAGGGCAGGAAAGTATGGACTATGGGTCGTTAGGCATATGCATATGCTTAATAGAAGTCGTGTTATATCTTTAAGTTTGTGATATATTATGCTCTTTTTTTAACTAAAAAGATCATTTAATTTTGAGAGTCCAAGGGGTTCTTCTTGGTCATGTTTGATATTTTTTTTGTTCATCACTATTGTCTCGCTTGTTGTGCAAGAAATGTTGTTTGAAAAGTTCGAAAAACATTACTTTTGTATAGGGATTAATGACTAACAAAGAGGGACGCATATTAATTAATAAGATATAATGTCATTATATATCGTCCCAATAATAATAAGATAAAGCCTTTACAACAACACACATTATTTATTCTTTTACTCGCTCATATCATAGCATAGCAGATGATTGATTGTAGTGTAGAGACAGCCGTACGTTTTTATGGGAAGATACAAATGCCTTTTATCATCATGTGAACGAAAGGCTGTCTTGGGAACACAACGGGCCAGCAATCTTCTGCAATTCCTTCCACTGCGTCGCAGCAAGCATGCTTTAGATGGCTAAAGTCCCAGCGCAGTATGGCGCTAACGGCATCAGCGCATCCGTCCACCTTTTTGATTGAAGCGAAACAATCAGCTGGATTAAGAAATGCGACCTTTCTCCCTGCAATATTAGTGGAAACGCTAAGCAAAACCATTGATATCATTACAATCGATGTAAGTATTTTGTTTGAACCCATTTTTGTTTACTTATGAATTTAATGAGCTAAAAGAAACTAAACTTATTGTGTTTGCATAGAATCAAAAATGTTGATCTATATATAGGGAAAAACTTTGTGGATCCAAGACATTTTGGTTGGTAAAATACCAAATTTACTATCCATCCATCCTTAGATGTTTGAATACAAACTACACATGTGATATCACTTTTGTTTACCAAACTCAACCAAGTCAACCGAGTAATTCTTTTTTTTTTTTTGTATTTGTAACAAAAAACCATAATTTCAGAATATTTTTAATTTCTGTTCCTCCAACAAAATGGAAGGAAAACAAACACAAAAATATTTAATATTTTTTACCTCACAAGATTCAAAAGATTTTAAGTTAGTCTTAACTTAACTCTCGAAGATCTGTTTTGTGATATCTTATCTTTATATTATTAATTGAGAAGTACATTCTAATGTTTGGATACAAGAATTAGAGAAACATCTATTTGGATAGAAGAATAAATGGAAACAAAGTTGTTTGGATATAAGAATAAGAGAAAAATCTATTTGGATAGAAGAATAAATGGAAAAAATTGTTTAGATACAAAAATAATAACTTAAAATAAACCGATGGTTTAGAAAAATTCCGTTTCTCATCTCTTAAAAATCTGCAAAAAAGAAAACTTAACATAATCTAACGATAATTCCAAATCAATAGAATATGTTTTTTGGATTTTCGGGTTTTATAGACAAGTTCGGGTTTTATAGAAATATATATAGAGATATAGAAATTGTTCGGGTTTCTTTGAAAATTTCTGTTCGGGTTAGGTTCAATTTTTTTTTTCAGTATAGGGTTTTCCGGATTTTTTAGATTTCTGGTTTTCGTGTTTAGATATATTACTCCCTCTGTTTCAAAATATAAGGGATTTTAGAGTTTTAGTTTTGTTTCAAAATATAAGGGGTTTTAGAGTTTTAATGTAAAATTAAATGTATTTTTATTACTTTAGATTATTTATACTCTGCAGATTTATTATTCATTGGTTAAAATGTTTTGGAATTGATGATCAATTTTTTTTTTTCAAAAAGTACAAAAAGTAAATGGCTTCTTAATTTTTGTGCAAAAACCTTAAACCCCATATATTATGAAACAAAGGGAGTAAAAAAATTGAGTATTTTAAAATTTTGATTAGGTATTGGGGTCGGGTTCCGGGTGAAAAAGTTTCCAGATTTTGTTTGTTCAGGGTTTTCGGGATTTTTTTTTATTTCGGATTTTCATGTTTAGACCTATTAAAAAAGTTTGGGTTTTTAAATTTTTTGATTAGGGTTTTTTGTCGGGTTCATATTTAGGATTTAAATTTTCTACACAAAACAACAACGTCACACCGCACAAACGTGAAGATACTCTACTAGTAGTATTTATTTTAGATTTCATATTTGACAGGTTAATGCTAATAGATCATGCTTATTATTTTAATTTTATTTTGCAAACTAACAGACCATTTATAAAATTCGATCTTATATCACCATCCAAAAAACCTGTGAAAATTAACAAATGTTGTAAACTTGATGGGTTTCAACAAAAAACCGTCATTAATTATGGTGAAAGTGTACGTGACTACAGTCTACAGGAAATACGCTCGATTTATCAAAATAATCCTATATGCATAAAATAATCCTAAATCAATTGATCGAGCATAAAATAATCCTATATCAATTGATCCTAAATAATCCTATATGCATAACACTTTAACTGTGTAAATTATCTACAATTTCAGGATAATAAATTTCAAGTACAGGACTACTGGAATTTGAATTGAACGAGAGTTTTCTTATGGATTTCACTTAAGACTGGTATGTTCTTTTTATTTCATGTAATGGCTCATGGCTGTTATGGAAGTTTCTCCATTATAATACTTAGACCATTCTGCCGAACAAGTGACTTTAGTTTTCTAGGTTTGCTATGATAACTCTCCGAATTTTATAACAGCTTATGCATTTTCTGCTTCTTGATCTTACTTTGTGATCTTGTTTACATACAAGAAAACAGATCCATCGCCTTTGTTAATAAGGACTTTGGAAAATATGACACATTGACACGGCCTAATAAGTCTTTATTGACAAAGGCGATGGATCTGTTTTCTTGTATGTAAATATGTTTTACTATAAGTTTAGTCATGCATCCCTAGCTTCTAATAGCCTTCTATAGGTCGATAATGTGTTTTTGCTCTAGGAATGTTCACATTTAGAACAATAATATTTACAGTTCGCTTAATGATTGCTTCCGAGTTTCCACATTATAAATGGGAATTTTGTTGTGTTATTGCTTTTGGGTTACTGATCTTCTTGGCTATATAATGTTGTTATTTCAGCTCAGAGACGCTGTTTGGATTATTTATAGGAAGAGCTGGTGTTATGAAATCTGGTTGAGAACAACGCAAACTCTACTTCAGTAGATATCAAACTTATTTTACAGATTTTGTATTTCTACAGATTTTTACTAACTTTTGTAATCATCAAACGAAATGTTTATTTTTATGTTTTGTTTCTTGTTGTATAATATACTTGATTCCTCCTCATTTTATTTTAAATTCATTGTCGTTTTGAAATTTTTTTTGTCACGGTTTTTCAATTTAAAAAAAAAAAAAAAAAATAGTATAAAGAGATAAATGGTATGGCATATGCATGGCGTCGGTTTTAAAAGCAACGTTTAAAACAACATAAAAAGTGACACTATAATTTTGACGTTAAGTATATTACTTAACGTCAAGTTTTTAAGTGACGCTAAAATGTTTTTAAGTATAGAAACAATTTAACGTCGGCACATATCACGACACTTATCAAACCAACGCCATATTATTAGGGTCAGTTTACAACCGACGTTAACCCATATAACAACCGACGGTAAAACGGCGTGTGTTTTGTACTGTGTACTGGCTGGCCCAAATAATTGCTAATTGTTTTAAACATGAGCTTTACTCTTTCTTGATAGATGAAATGATGGTGTTCTAATTACCATCAATTAGGTGCCAAAAATAAAATGAGGAGGTCCCAGTAAATTTCCAAAAATAAATGAGGGTCCCAACTTCGCCCATTTCTCAACGTGGGAAAGATATTGAGTCAAACCCTTAAAAACTGGAAACAAAAGACCGCACGTCCTTTAAACTATTAAAAAAAAATAATAATAATAAGTAAACAATTTTCTTTATTACTAGTATTTGCTTATTTTTGCTTTGATAACAGAAAAAGAAAGTAAAAAATGATTTTGCAAGGAGGCTTGGCGCTTCTCAACCAGCAGTTCACGGCCTTGTTCAGGAAGAACCTGCTGCTATCATGGCGGAACAAGAAAGCCACGTGTCTTCAGCTCTTCTCTTCCTTCTTCTTCATCTTTGTCATCTTTTGTATCGAGGAAGCGATGAAGGCGAGCGAGGCATCCTCAACGGCGTACAAGAATGTCACCGATCCCACGCTTCTGTTTTCGCCGCCGATCCCTCCTTGTGAGGATAAGTTCTTTGTGAAGCTTCCTTGCTACGATTTCGTATGGAGTGGGAACAGTAGTCGCCGCGTCACTGACATTGTCTCTGCTATCATGGCCAACAATCCGGGGAGACCAATTCCTAACGACAAGGTTCAATCATTCAAAGGCCCCGAGGAGGTCGATGCATGGTTAATGTCACATCCTTTGCAAGTCCCAGGAGCTTTGCATTTTGTGGAAAGGAATGCTACTGTAATCAGCTATGGAGTTCAGACGAATTCCACGTCGGAGAAAAAACGTGGTCGTGCTGAAGATCCAACGTTTAAGTTCCTTGTTCCTCTTCAAATCTCAGCAGAGCGTGAGATAGCGAGGTCTTTAATTGGAGGTACCAATTCTTGAATATCTTGGAGCCATAATTTGGAATTGGTGGCTTTTGACTCTACATACTTGTATTCAACTTCAGATCCAGGTTTTGGTTGGGGTTTTGGATTTAAGGAATTTGCGCGCCCAGCTAATAAAAGCGAAACCATCTCTGCACTCAGAATCATGGGACCAATCTTCTTTCTTGCTTTCTCCATGTTTGGCTTCGTTCTCCAACTCGGTTCTCTGGTTACCGAGAAAGAGCTAAAACTTCGTCAGGCAATGACAATGATGGGAGTTTTTGATACAGCTTATTGGTTATCATGGCTCACATGGGAAGGAATCCTTACCTTCATCTCCTCACTCTTCCTAGTCCTCTTTGGAATGATGTTCCAGTTCGATTTTTTCTTGAAGAACAGTTTTTTTCTTGTCTTCTTCCTTTTCTTGCTTTTTCAGTTTAATATGGTAAACATCCGCATTTCCTTTACGTGTTGTGCTACTGCTTCCTCTAGGGAGTGAGATACATGTGGTTTTTTTTAATGTTTTCTCTTATTACTTGTGTTGCAAGATTGGCCTAGCATTCGTGCTATCATCTTTCATTAGCAAATCATCTTCGGCTACAACTGTTGGTTTTCTTGTGTTTCTGATTGGTTTCATGACACAGGTTTGGGCTCTCTTGCGCTACCCGAATCAAAACTGCTTCCTCAAATCGTGTGACTTATTACTCGATACACTTTTGTAACTGCAGATTGTTTCAGCTACTGGATTCCCTTATTCCAGTGCCTACTCTGCCTCTCGCCGGCTCATGTGGTCACTCTTTCCACCCAACACTTTTTCTGCTGGCCTTAAGCTTCTTCTTGATGCAACTTCATCTCCCGGAAGCTCTGGAATTAGTTGGAGTCAAAGATCAGCATGCGAAGGGGGCATGGCAACTTGCGTGATTTCAGTTGTATGAAATCAAATACTACTTGTCCATTTCTCTCAAACCACCACTAGATATTTTATCTACCTTTTCATCTTGTTTTTCTTGCCAGAACATTATCTTCCAGTGGCTCCTCGGGACATTCCTTTTCTGGTTTGTTCTGGCCATCTACTTTGACAATATTATTCCCAACGCGTCCGGGGTAAGAAAACCCATCTTCTACTTCTTAACACCGGGTTATTGGACTGGCAAAGGGGGCAACAAAGTGGAAGGTACATTTTTCGAATTTTGTTTTTTGGTTGGTTGGGAAATGTAAACCAAACATGTTCCTACGTAAACTTTATACAGAAGGGAGCATTTGTAGCTGTATCGGGTCAGTTCCACCCGTAGAGTATGTGACGCCGGAGGACCAAGATGTGCTTGAAGAGGAGACACTGGTTAAACAACAAGCAATAGATGGGATTGTTGACCCTAACATTGCAGTTCAGATACATGGTCTTGCAAAGACATATCCCGGAACCACAAAGCTTGGATGTTGCAAGTGCACCAAAACGTCCCCTTTCCATGCTGTGAAGGTATTTTATTTCTTGTTCAGTCTGTTGCGATATTTAACATGGTCGTAAGTGTTCTATATATGCCAAAGCTATCCAACAAATCGTAATGCTCATTGTCTCTTGTGGTTTCCGACATGGAACATATCACAACAATTCCGTATACATATATATTCAGCTTATTAATTAGCTTATGAAATATATGTTTCAGGGTTTGTGGATGAATATTGCCAAAGACCAGTTATTTTGTCTTCTCGGACCCAATGGTGCAGGGAAAACAACTAGTATTAGTTGTTTAACTGGCATAAATCCAGTTACTGGTGGAGATGGTAAGGATTTTGTTAAGAAGAAGCTAGTTCCAAAGCATTTTTAACCATTCTAATAATAATTAAGACCTATTTTGATTGATTCAAACAGCTCTCATTTATGGAGAGTCCGTAAGAAGCTCTGTTGGCATGTCCAACATTCGTAAAATGATAGGAGTTTGTCCTCAGGTAGATAAATTTTATATTTGATCACTTTTGCCATTGTCTTCTTAATTCTTACACATATTTTGTTTGGTGTTTTTTATTAAACAGTTTGATATCCTTTGGGATGCTTTATCCAGTGAAGAACACCTCCACCTCTTTGCTAGCATCAAAGGGTTGCCACCTGGACTGATCAACTCGGTACCACCGCGTGAATAATCTCAAAGTGCTGCTAAGAGATTTGAACTCGTTTTCTTACAAAATTTGTATCTGATACAGACTGCTGAGAAGTTACTGGCGAATGTAAAACTGACAGGAGCCGCCAAAGTTAGAGCAGGAAGTTATAGCGGTGGGATGAAACGCCGACTCAGTGTCGCTGTAGCACTCATTGGTGATCCCAAGCTGGTCTTCCTAGATGAACCGGCACGTCTGCTTTACTACGCTTC